CAGGTTCCCGAGGGGCAAAAAACACTAAAAAAAACAAAAAAAAAAAGCCAGGAATTGCCAGAGGAGGCAATCCGAAGACCGAGCACGGTTCAATCCCCCGATATAACTAAACGCGATTACCGATACCGATATTCCGAACCGGCTCAAAGGCGAGAAATCGGGTGCGGGAGGGACCGAACCGGGTTCCGGGGGTCCCGGCCGGCCATTCACACTTCCGAATCCGCGGGCAACGTGTGGGGTACTGTGCAGTACGTAATCGCGTAGATATTTGCCTCGCGGGTATTCTTCCGTTCGTTGAGGGGAACCCCACAAAGGAGGAGGACGTACAGTATGATATGTTGTGCAGTCAGTCGCCCTTTTGTGAAGTAGGAGAAGAAAGTGCAGGTTTTTCGTCATGGCGGACACGTAAGTTGGTGTGTCTTGGTACGTGGTGGCCTTTCGTGTTCGATGACTTTATGTCTCCAGTCGGGGGGTACCGGCGGACTATGAGCACTGTACTGTACTTTGCCATGACAAGTATGATACTTGTTATTCTTCCTTACTCAACATAGTGCTAGAGTGCGAGTTGTCGTATCGTATCGGATGTTGCGGGTGTTATATATGGTGCATACTGCGCAGCACTTGTGTGTTCTCTGGGTCTAGACTTGTTTTTTTCCCGAACGAGTGGGCAGCTGTGAGGCCGATCTGCTAGACAATGGAATAGAATAGAACGGTTAATTATGGAATAGGGTGATCAGTGCTTGCGCAGCAAGTTAGGTGGTGCGTCAGAGTGCGTGTAGTTGACTGCTATGTTTTGTAGGTAGACTTCTATGACACGATGAGATACGATACCGTACTGTACAGTACTCGAGTACAAGGGCGCATGACGCACAGGGCTGCTGCCTGCTGCTCGTTTCCTTTGCTCCTTGCGGAGTGCTTTACCAGAAGATGAGAAAGGGAGAGAGAGAGAAGAGAGGGGGTGGGGATACGGAACTATCGCGGCTTCTCCTCCGGAGGTGGTGAAATTTTCGCGATAATACCTGCTGATATTCAATCGGGCGTTTTTTTTTTTTTTTTGGTATTGTAAAACCAGCCTGATGTTAGTTATTGCCCACTTAGGTTCATAGTGCATTCTTTCCTTGGTATATTATACTTCTCTTTGTGACTAGGTTTCCCTAGTTGGATATATCCCCTCCATTTACTTATTAGCACCTTATGCCCTATGACTACTAAGTTGGATATTCCCAGACTTCTACTATTGCCACTGGGTCAGTATGGTACACCAATTGCGTGATTGCTTATTCTACCTTTTATTGGATTCCATTACTTTGTCCTGTCTGTATCACTTCTATATAGTAAGTACGAGTAAGGTATATAAAATTTGCCTGTGTGGGTTATTCTCTCTATGACTAATTATATTTCCTAGTTACTATTTTTCCCATTCAAAGAGATTTCAAATTCCACAAGAGTTCAACCTCTGAAGCCTGACAGGAATGCTCTTCTTAGTACACTGTGATTATAAATTAGGTACTGGTCTCTTTATTAGTTCCCCGCCTTCATTTCTATTGAGGAATTTCCGTTCAAGTTGACACTTCTCTCACGGAGTTATCCTATCAGTACTGATAATATTCAAGAATCTCTTTTGAGGTTCTTGAGAGAAAACTTAAGGGTAGGTTATGATAAGGGAGTCTACTATGATATTAGAAACTTTATGAGGTTCTAAATGCCAATTACGAGGAACCCTGCATGCAGCTGTTCCCGCTCAGAGATGGCTATTTGGCCGGGCAAGTTACTGTAACCCTGGCACCTAGGAAATCCTCTCAATGCACTTTTCTGGCGGCTCTGCAATGTGCAGAACCATGTATCATAATATCCATTATTTCAGACAACCCAAACTCACATCCTGCACCGTTTTATTGTCATTTTTATTTAACATTTGACCTTATGCATTCTTCGTTGTATTTGCCCTGCGTGACGTTTCCCCCCCTCCCCCCAATTTTTCTGAGGGGACACAGTGTGATACTCGCCAAAACACGCCCTACTTGTATGGATTGCCCTTGGTTCCATAACCTCTGATCACTGCTAGAGACACTAAATTTCTCGGGATATCCGATTATGAACACGATAGTTTTCAACATAGTTCTATCGTCAAGGCTGCCAGAGGGGTTGTGATCGACCTGTCGCTAACGGCGGCCCATAAATTACCTTGGGGACGCACTTTTGATTTCGGGGAATGGGTCGATTGGCATAACTCAACTCAACGTGGTGAAACAGGAAACAAAGCGCCTTGAAGCACTCTGTGCTGTATACCGCGGTTCGACCACCAGCCCACACAAAACAAGCATCCCTCCAATATCGTTACTGGCATCACAATCCATTCTCATCGCCCCATCATCGTAATGTGCTCGCTGCGCGTTCGTTGTTCCAGCTTGGGCGGGGTATTTCTCCCGGTGTGCGGTGGTGCGGTGCACACAGCTCATTATTTCCCAACGGGACCAGACCTCGCGATCCCCACATTCATCCCATTCTAGCCACCCTTACTCGAGTACAAGGGGGGAGAGGAGGAAGGCGGAGCCTCATTTATGCTTCGCGTCGGGGGGGAGGGGGGGCTCTTTTTCGTCAATCGTTCAATGTAATGCAGGCGTTGCGAAAGGGGAGAAGTAAGAGCACTGAAAGGAATTGAAATAATGATGCTAGATGATTTGGGTTAGGCAATTGGTATGGCTTGGTGACATGCCAGTATCTGATCGTTGGGCGCAATTTACGCCAAAAATGACGCCTCTCCCATCTTCACAACACAACTGGAGGTCATTCAATTACACATACTTTTCACCCTATAAAATATCTGGGTATTGTGATAACATGTCAAGATTTGGGGAAATTGTTGCGGCCGAGTACCTCTCCATATCAGCTGCCATATAAATCCTCAGCGCTTAAACCGAATTTCCAAGGCCTTCCGCACAATGGGCCTCATAGCAGGAGGCCCCCTTGTCTATCTGTAGCATAAATGATAAAATATAGATCCTCGACTACTTGAAGACATGTTTTGGTGGGAATTCATGAAGGGGTGGACACAGTGGACATTGAGTTGCTCATTGATTTTTTTTCCCCTTCCCATTTTGGTGTTGTTTTGATGTGTCGGGACCGGACAAAGTGGGCGTCCCGCGGTGGGTTTATGCCCATACTGGTACGGTAGCTGACATATGATAGCTGATCTGGTGCCACAATAATGTAGGTACGAGTACCAACCATCTAGGCTATTAATACCGGTAAGCAGGTCATCCCGAGCTGAGCCTCAGCAGTTTGGGAGGAAAAAAAACGAACCATGAGTAAATTTGCTTCCACACCCCGACGGATCCGATACCACCACCCCCTGTAAATGAAAGTTTTCACTCTCTCCCTCTGTGCTTCTTTTCAATCAGTCACTCCATTCACCCACTTGTTGCCTGCCCGCCTACCTGGAGAGGGATGCGGAGGGTGAAGAGAGGGGGTTCGAACCAACGAACGAGTATTTATGTACAGCGGACATCCCCACCCAAGTTACTCATTCATTCACTCTTTCATATCGTGCGTTTGCTCACCCATTCATCCATCCATTCACCTGTTCAAGTGTTTGCTTCCTTACTCACTGCGATTCCGCCATCATACGTTCGTCCCGTTGCGTTCGTTCATTCATGGAACGTACGACATTAGCACAGTACAGCGAGACCGGAAATCACGAGTCGAAGAACTTCAATAGGGAGCAGGTGAAACTTCACGAGAAGGGGTTGAGTTAGCTAATCTAGCTCATCCTTTGGCTCTCAGTTACTATACGATATACACCTGCGCTAGTAGCGGTGGTCGTGGTTGTGGTTGCCGACGTCGTGTGTTGCGTGGTAAAGGTTAGACGGGAAAGAAAGAAAAGTAGGGTTTGCTCCGGTACATTACGTGAGACGACGACCAGCGGCGGTGGGGGGACACTTCATCATTTAGTGCATTCTTTGATTTCTTCCTTTCTTGCACTCTTCCCTGGGCGTAAGGAGAGGTGTGCAAGCGCTCAAAGTGAAAGAAGAAGGGAAGGGGGGGGACCTAGAACGTGGGCTCCCGCACCACCGGGAGCAGAAAGAATACCAAGGAAAGAAAAAAACAGAGGAAACAAGCATTCAACGCTTCAACATTCACCACCGGCAACTTGATATCTGTCCAGTGCCCGTCCGTCCTTCGTCCAGAAAGCCAAAAAAAGGGGGGGGGGGCTACATGTGAGGAGGAAAAGACTTGTGGCCTCTTTTTTCTCTCTTTTCTGCTCTATAAAGGCCTCAGGGCTCTCGGAATATTGCGAAAAAAAAAAATCCTGCAGAAAATCCCCTCGTACATCCAAATTTTGGGATAAACGGAGGTGCAACTGATTGGTTAGCCGGATAAAAAGATTTCTCCTCTTTGAAAGGGTTTTTCCCCCCATTCTCTCCAGATATTACGCGGCACAGCGCTACACTTCTATACGAAATTTGCGAAACGGGAAGTACAACAGTATCGAGTTAAAAGTACATCTTCAGTGGAGCAGCAAGAAGAAAAGTCAGCGACACATCGTATTCGACAAGGTTACAGATTCAACTTTCCCATCTAAGACACTTTTTTGGAGACAGGAGGGGGAGGAAAAAAAGAAAGAGGAAAAAGAAAAGAAAATCATTCACTGTCCCATATTGGGTTTTTTTTTTCCCTTTCTTTTCTTCCTTTCTTCCCTGCAGGGACGGTGGGTGCTGCTATATATCTTCCGGCGGCCACGCACATTGCAGAGGTAGATAGGAAAAAGGTTGTTTGCCTTTCTGCCTTTGTACTACTGTACGTTTTACTACGCCTGCGCTACCGTGTACTGCGCTACAATACACAACCCCCCCATTGTGCTATCACGACGACGACAAGACAACTACAAGACTACAACCTCCCAGACCAACTATCACCTCCCAACAGCACACATTCATACGTACATAAGTACATATCTATACATATATACATACATACATACGTCCCCACGAACACCAAAAATGTGCCAATACGAGCTCTGGCTCTACTCGAAGTGCCTCTCCACTCACTCATCCCACCTTCACTCCCCCTCCCCCTTCTCCCATTCTTCCCCGCCGCAACCCCATAAAACGTTCTACCGAGTAGCAAAGTGTCCAAACTCACCCCACTGTCTACCACCGACTCCCCGCGCGGATATGAAGTCCACTAGCGAACTTCCCATCCAGCGGCGGGACCGGTATTGCGCCACTTGCTTCGAAACGCTAAAGAGCGCCATGGGTGGTGCCGGGGACTCGTGCTGGCCCTGCGGCGAGGAGCATTGGGTCGACAAGAGGCTAGTGGCAGGGGGAGGGGGAGGGGGAGGGAAGGCGTTGGTTGACTTGGAAGGGTGGAACGGCATGGATTCTACTGTTGAAGTGGAGAGCCCGAGTCGGCGGGCGAGGTTGGATTTTCTGGCTAGGAATTGGAAGGGATGGAGGGAGTGGGGGGCTGATGCCGGGGCTGCTATTGGAGTTTCCGGAGGGGGAGTTCGGGCGATGACTTGATTCCCTGCCATTCTTAACTACTGCATGACATGATAGACGGGAGAATATTTCCCCTCCTTATTATTTTCCTTATTTTCTCCTCTTTTGGGGTTCGGTGTTTCTTATGCTTTTTCCTGGGTTCGGCTATCCTTTTGCCATCGGTTTGGGTTGGGGGTTTGTTTTCCATTACTATTCTATTCCATTCCTTGTCCTTTCTTGTCAATTCTTCCCTTCCCTCTCTACTCTTTCCCTCGTACATGCCACCCCCCTCCCCGCTCCTTCCATCACCAAGATCCCCCATCGTATCACATCTACCATACACCTCCTCTCAAAGCTTCCCAAAGAAATGACACGGGCAGTAAATAAATTGACCGTTTATCTCATTTCACCCCCACCACCACGTGTCCGTCCGTCTCATTCCACTCTGCCTGCAGTTAAACGCGGCTATAATAGTATCATACAACGAAAATCACCTATTTATGGTATAATACCAAGTGCACATTACGAGTGATAATTTGTGCATAAACGGTCGATCTGAGTCTGCCGGGTTGGGGTTGGCGTAACTACCGGTATGCAACATCACGGTATCCCTACACCACCACGCGAAGCAAGCTACTATACAACCACGTATAATAAGGTACAAGTCGCGCGCGGTCCTGCATGAGTAAGCATGAGTCGTGACGTTTGGAAAAACGGACCACCATCGCAGATACAGCCAAGAATTGACCAGAGCCTCAGACCTTCCGTGGCATGCAACAGCAGTCCTTTTTACAAACGTCGCGACATTACAAGTAGTTGCGCTGCAAGTTACTGCACGATATGTACCGTACGGTATGTGTAAGCTAAGCATGATACTGTATTCTACAAGTATTCGCGCTCGCCATCTGGCGGTCATCCCGTTCCATTTTTTCCGGCCGGCCATCGCGCCGAGTCATGTGATATACCCTTTCTCACTCGCGTAAAAGAGCACGTGAGCCAGACAGACAGACAAACAAACACGAGCGAATAGATAGAAAAGAAAAAAGAAAAGAAAAAAGCGTATATATATATACCGGCACAGTACCCGCACGAGTATGATACTCGGGGTGCGGTTTTAGAGACTGAGGACAAACTGGTCGTCCTCCATCTTCATCGGGTCAAGTTAAGCCCGATGACTTAACTTATATCCGCGAGAAAAACTCCCAACAACAAAGCCAATGCAAAGTTTTACATTTTGCGCCCGCGTGATGGATGGATGGATGGGTGGGTGGGTTCCTGTCACCCGTTCATTTATTTGTCCGTTTTGTTTGCTTGTCGCGGCGAGGGACGGTTCTGGGAAAAATGAAAACCATAGGATAATCATATTTTTGCCCGTAACTTGTACGGTACTCCTCTTGTCATGGGTTTCGTGAGGATGGGTGGTACAGTATTGTATTGCCTTGGCGGTGATGGGGAATGCAACGATGGCATCAGATGCACTTTCTTTTTCTTTTCTTTTCTTCTTTTTCGGGGATTAATTGTGAGACGCCCACGTGTACCGTATTTGGGTGTGTGAGAGAGCATGATTCTGTCGAACTTTAACTCGTTCGTTGGAATTACTGTGTGTGAGTGTGTGTAACAGCCCTTCTCCAGATATTTGGCCAACCTGCAGTGGCTGGATAGGATCCGTTCTCTGAGTGGTCAAGGGGCCACTGGGCCGACCGGAGGGGTTCGACAGACCTGCTCTCGATGGTATGTATCATACTCGAGCGCTGGTATGATACCCGCATAGTATGCATACGGTACGATGCTCGAGTACCGGTATGGAAGGGGGGCAAGTAATGGTGCGGGGTAGGGTAGTGCGGAGCGGTATCTAAGGGAGAAAATTGACGCATGGAATAGCCTTGGATATTGTATTTCTAGATAGCGTGCCCTACGCTTACAGCAAAAACTTTATCTAATAGAAGGGGGGGAGAAGAAAGGAGAAGGAAGGAAAAAGGGGAAAAGAAGAAAAGAGAGATTTTACATCCCCCTGTTAAACTCCACCAAGTCCTCCCTCCCGCCTTTTCCCCAAAAGTAGGGTTCCAGAGATTCCGCCTTTACAGCCTGTCGCTGCGGGAAGGCTCCTAGAGCCAGGGGTAAGGCAAAGATGGAGGTAGCGAAGATGAGCCCTGGTTTCGTGCCCGTGAGCTAAATTCCACCACTGCTATCACTGCATATAGGGTGGGGATATCGTACCACAATTGATAGGCATAATCAACTTTGGCCTACTCTTCAGCCACCCCGTAGCCGTCAACCTGACCAGTAGCAGTGGGGGGATGACCATGATGGGCGTAGCATTGAAAACCCTGCTAACCGCCGTCTCACCGACAGCGAATATCGCAGCCTTCCGGCTTTTCCCCAAACTTTCCTTCTTCTCGCCCCCGTCGCTGGCGGGGTAGATGTCGATCCCCTTCTCGATCTCGCCGCCACGCATCAAGCACACGTTCATCACGCCTGCCGTGGCGACGGCCGCGAAAGGGACGAGCCTGCCGAGGATCGTTTTGACATTGGGCCTAAACTTCACCTTCTGCACCACCCTTCCCAGTCCCACAGCAACGCCACAGGAAGCACTCACGGCGAGGAGGAAGCTGGCCGCGAGCTGGCCGTTGCTCAGTGGCGAGGATTTGTTCGCGTTGGAGGTGTTGATGAGAACGTTGAGGGTCTGGTTGGCGATCTGCCAGCCTAGGACTCCGCGGGTGGTCAGGTTTGGCGCGAGCATCCCCGCTGTGACGACCAGATTCGAGAAGACGAAGCAGGACATGCGGAAGGGAAGGAAGACGGGCGCTCCGGTGTCTGGGTGCAAGGTTGCGTCGACCACTTTCTTTGCGTGCCAGAGTTCGGGGGTCATTTGTGGGGGGATCTCACCGCGCTTGTATTTCGCCAGGAGGGCCGTGTGAGCATCGAGGGATTTTTGGGAGGTAAACAGGGTGCTGTCAGAGCGGTCCGTTAGTGTGATTCCTACAAAAGCCAAGCATCACACACCGAGGATCTGCGATATCTGCAGAGTGCCTGACTCTGCCCCAGTACGTTGAAAGATCGTACTGGGACAAAGGCAATTCGCGAGTACCAAGAATTGAGGACGACATGACAGATACTATTTCTGAAGAGTATGTTATGTTCTCCCTTGTAAAAAGAAGGGGGAGACGGCAGAGGAGTGAGGAGATAGTGGGAGTGGGGCAGGTGGGGAAAGAACGGGGCGAAGAGAGAGATATGGTAGGGTCTGTTAGGTGGTCTGTGCTCGTTAGGTTTTATTTTCGACTTGATGCGGCTTGGCGAGCAACCTGCGGATCGAAGATCAATGGTCAATTCCGTTTGTACGTGCGGATAGGCCCTGGAGTCTAGATCACGCGCTCCGGGTAAACTATACCGCAAAAGCTTATATTCGAACAAGCCAATGGTAAACGACCAGTGAGGTCAGGTTATGATCCAACATAGAACTACTGCGGCCAATTCACAAAACCGAAAATTAAGCTATATTACATATCCCCCCCCCCCCGCACGAGCTAGGCGCCGTGAAATCAAAACCGAGACACCTCCGAAACCTAAATGAAAGTGGAAAAAGTCCAATTTACATGACCCAAACGACATTTTTTTCCAAATAAGTAAACAAATGGATAAAAAGGCACTACTCGGGTCCTCGCTGTACTGGCATATCGCTTAAAACCATCCCTTCAATCGCTGTAAACCTTCCAAACATAGCATCCCATTCTTCCCAGTCAAAATCCATAACATCATCTGCCCCGGTCCCGGCGACATCACCAGTAGGAACACCCATAGGTAGTTCCTTCAGAGGCGGTTCCATCAAAGGCGGTGTCGGCATACCAGGATCCATGGGAGCATCGTCGTCCACTGCGATACCTGCGGCAGCCATCGCCTCCCAAATCTTCATTGCAGCCTCCGTAGTATCTTTGTATCGCCCGGTCCCGGTAGCGACATTATCGGCTATGAACAACATTTCTTCGTACCCACCCGTTGGTATATCGAGGGGTGGTAATACGTCGGGCCCGGGCTTTCCCCCAGCGTCTTTGGCGGCGGGGGTGGTAAGTGTGTCCGGGTTCGGAGGCATGTTACACTTCGCTATACTCCTCGCCTTTGCTGGAGCGGTTGGTGTTGCCATGCCCTCCTCCTCTCTTCTCTCTGCAGGCTTATCAATTTTTATGCCGGCTTTCTCGTAGGCTTTCTTTCTCAGCCTCGCCAACATTTTCCATGCCAAGCTCCCACCCTCCAAGAGCGGTCGATTACCCCCAGGAGCGCCTACTAAAGAGTTTCCATCTTCGCCGAAGAGGGCAAAGATTTCATCCACAAACATACGGCTCTGCGGAGCTTCAGGACTTTGGGGCCTTTCGTGGAGATCGATAAGCAATATCATAGTAGCATGGAGGGGTTGAAAGGTGCCAGGACAGAACCACTGATATGGTTGGAAAAGTGGGTTTTTCGAAACATGTACAAACTTCTGGAGGAAAGAGACGCAGAAATGCAATGCGCTATCTGCTCTTTAGCTGTGTTCTTCTTAATCGAGGGTTAGACCCTACCAATGTCTAGCATGATCCCACAGTCTGCTCTTGGATCTTTTCAGAAATGATTGGTAGAAGACGCCGAAGGTTCTATCCGAAAACATACTCAACATAATCCTAGCCCAGCCATTAAAAACAATTGCCTTTTCAGTATCAAAAAAGCTTTCATTGTGCCCCATAAGCTCATGAAACTCGGGATCGTGAGGAGGAGTGAACCCCATTTCTGGTATCCCCCTAGCTGGAATCCTTGCGATTCGATCCTCTAGTCTAAGCTTCAGTTCGAAGATTGCTCCTCCCATTTCCATAAGATCCGCTTTCTGCGGCGGTCTTGTCGAGAGAAGCTGAATGACGACCTTCCTTAGGACAATCGTCATGTCATACCTGCCAGCAGCGAGGATCATTGCAGGGCTATTTGGATGCTCATCCAGAAGTGCCTTGCAGGTATGGGCCATATGGTTCACCGATGTCTGTGGTTCTGCCGCAGCGGTAGCGGCTTCAGTAACCTTCTTACGTTCCTCAGGCGAAAGTCCAATATATTCATCCTTAAGCTCACTAACCATTTTTGTGTCAAACAGCTCTTCCCCACTCCCCCCTAGTGGTGGAAGACCGGTCGCGATAGCCCCTTGAACATCTAAATAAAGGATGTGCCACCAGACACGCCGACGAACCTCACATTCAATTTCGTTCAAACCAAACAGACTCCCGTCGCGATGGAGCCCCATAGACTGTGCGACACGCATAGCCATGCCAAGAAACGAGCAAGAGGTCAATGGCTCCTCTTCCCGAATGAGACACGTTTGAGTGATGAGAAAGGCGATGAGCGAACTGACAGTCGGGGTTCTGGGAAAAGAAGAGGCCGATAGAGCATGCATTGATCCTGAGTAGAGGCTTTTGGTCACCTCGATCTTCGATTGACCGGTAAGAATTTTTTCAATGACCTTCGCGGGTAGTGACATCGATCCCGCGTAGAGGACTGACAAAAGTAATGGGAAAAATCCATGGTTTTCGGTTAGTGTTGGATCTGGAATGGAGCGGATATTATTTGGAAACCATGCCCAGAAAGCGTTATATTCCTTTGCAAATGTCGGAACGTGGATAAGGGGCATTATGGGGTGCACTCCGTTAAGAAAGGCCTTGTACATAATATCACACATAGGCTTGTCCGGAAGGTCCCTTAGGATTAGAGGTATGATCTCAAATGGATTCCCTCCTCTTTCACGAGGCTCGAACTGCAAAAGAGAAGATTTATCAAACTGAGATAGCCCGCAAAAGTTTGGTGCACTTGCTGTTGATGATGGTCGCAAAGGTTCAGCCGTGCCGGATGCAGTCGATCTGGAAGCGGTCTCAGAGGTAGTGGAGTTGCGAGGTTTTTGGAACAAACCAATCATCTCTTCTGGTGGAGGACCAGCAGAGCATCTCGTATCGGGCGGTTCGTTGGCACGTAAGACGTCATTAAGCTCGGCGATCTTGAGTTTACCGTTAGTAAACAATCCCCACAGTATCTGCACGATAGGAGAGAATGCCGGTGGGACTGTTTATATTATATTACCTCATGGCTTATGGAGGCCCAAAAACTGCTTCCAACATATCGACTCCTTCCACGACCCTGGATACTCAAATGGCCTAATCCTAGATCACCTATATCGTCACATGTGCCTTTCCCTCTTGCTGCTTCAATTTCTTCGTCTAGTAACTTCATAGCAAGCTGTCCCCTCGCCATTTGCTTGGGAGGATGTGTAGCTCCATTTTTACCTTCAAGGGTGCAAACTTGCTGGGAATACCCGTCGGCACTACTAGAAGGTGTTGTGATAGTGTCCCGCGAACGTGGTGAATGGGATGAGGATACGGAGGAACAGGGAATTGAATGGGCTGGGGCACAGCTGATACCGCTGATCGAGTAGGTGAGTTTTCTCATGTTGTCCGAGACACCCTGTTCCTGGGGAACGAGGCGTTCACGTGTCGGAATTTGTCCCAAAGTTCCCTCAAATGAGCTCTTCGCATCAGAGTTGTTAACTCCGACAGCATCGACAGCCTGCTGTCTCGCCACAGGCGGTATGATCCTTTGACCATACGCATCCTTGTACCACCTATCGACGATCTCGGCAAGTCTATTCATCCGAGCCTCTAAGTCTTCTGGCTTCCCCCGGGCGAAAGATGTGAATTCGGGGCCATTGGTGCCGGCTGTGACGCCCACTGTTGAGTAGCCTTCGCTTGTTTCCCCGTCTGCCCCCTCAGAGTCTTCTCTAGTTCTTTGGCGTTTCATCCGTGGCTGGTTCGTGATGCTCTGAGGTTGTTGAACAGCGCTCCTGGATCCCTTCTTGTTGCTCTGATCGTCGTAGACGCAGGGGTCAGATGTCCGAGTACAATTCCCGCAAATAGGATGTAGGCGATCGCACCTGACTTTGCGCCTACGGCAGGCATGGCAAGAGTACGAGATTCGGTTCCTATGTATTTGGCGAGATTGTGAGATGGGCGGGGCTTGCTGTTGCTGTTGCTGTCGTTGTTGCTGCTCCTGCGATCGGGGGAGCGACGGGAGAGCTGATGGAGCTGGCGTTTCTCCGAAAGGCGGGGGTGAGGGGAAGGGCGGTGCAAAGTTGAAGAAGCCTTGAAATGCGGAAGAGGGGGGTGGACTCGATGATGATAGTGGGGGAGGCCCGGAGGGGAAGCGGAGGGAATTTTCTGCGTAATTCATTCCGTGTGATGCCTGTTTGGTTGAAAACAGCTGGCTAGGTAAGTTTAGGGGATTCAAATGATTTGCATGGGGACTTGCGTAGGTAGGGGGTACAGTACAGTACCCGTAGAGCGACGGGTTAGCCAGATCGAGAGGGAAAGAGGGGGAGGCCCTCGTTCAGTTCGTAGGAGCTAAGCCTCACGTATGTACTGTGATTTGAGACGTGTGTTCTTTCGTCTTCTTTTGTGTTTCCACAAGGGTGGAAAGGAAAGGAACGAATGAGAGGAGAAGCAGGAGTCAGAACCATACAAGTAGCTAAGGGAGGTCCGAAATACTGTAATAAAAAAAGCGCTAAGAAAATGATGGGATTGCTTCCCTGGGGTAAAAGACCGGGGATGACAAAGGAAGTTTTGGGGTTTTGCGAGTAAAAGGCTGATGCTGACCCCCGCTCTAGTTATATACTCGCAGCAAGCGAGTGAGGATGATAACCTTTGTAAGCTAAAAAAAAAGGTGGGACAGGTTATCATACCGATCAAGTGATTTAAGCTTCAATCCTGCACCGATAAAGTCCACCACACATCTCCCGCGATATTGAAGTGGTGTACCGATGCGTACCATGCTTGGACTCGATATGCATTGTTACCTGCCCGTCCGGGACGTGGTGGTGTGCGAGAGCACCATACCGGTAATGCGATACCGCACCATGCCAGCACTATGCCCGGGGACCAAACGTGCACCAAGCGGGAACCTAAAGTTGGGTTCTCAGCACAATTCATCACAAAGAGGGCGCTGGCAGTTTCCGGCCCAGAATTATTAGCACACATTGTTACAAATATAAATCACCTTCGTCCTTTCGAATAAGTCTCCTGACATCAGACACCAGTACCGCGCTGTACGGTACAGTACTCTGCCCAGACATAGGGAGGAATTGGGGGGTATCGTGCAGCGGGGGCAGTAGCTGTAGCAGCTGCGGCTGCAGACTAGTACCATGGTAGCAGTTATCATGCTCATACCAGTATTTTACCATTGGTGGGCGAATGCTGGTGCACTGTGTCATATTGTCGTACTGGAGCACTACCGTAGCCCGGGCTTCTTGACATCTTGAGGGAGTTGGGAATAGCCTGATCCTTTCGTAGGATACCGGTAGCTGGTCTCACACCTGCAGCCCAATACCGGTAACACCCATCTCCAGATAATGTGGAGATCTCGCAGGACGCCTCCTCATGCACTTTCCGTAAAAGCTGGGGACTTTTGCTGGCCTTGTTTTTGCTCTTCTCATCATCTAATCATCTCATCTTCCCTTCCTTCCACCCCTTCCACCCCTTCCACCCCTTCCACCCCCTCCGCCCCTTCTGTGTATTCCGCCCGGCCTTCCAAGTACCGGTATGCCTCGTTGTTGGCAGGTGGGGGTGGGGTATAGGGGGAGGAGTGCAGCGAGTCTGATTAGATCCTCTAGGTCGTTTTTTGTCTTTCCAGTGTGATACATACAGCGCCAGCATGGCCAAGCCGAAGTTGCACACTTCGCTTGGGAAGTGCCACCTTACGATAGGTGTCCAGCTTCAGATTGGCCGCTCGAGTACTCGAATATCCAGAGTACAGTACCGGTACTGAGTACACAATGTTATACGATGCTTGTGCACTAAATAGGGCGTTAGCTTCCCAGCCAAGAGGTGTCCAAAAATACGGGTTATGGGTTTGTATGGGAGCTCGGACGCGCGCGGATTTTTTGCCAGAGACCGGTATTTTGCGAATCTTCGTTTTCGGATACTTCTTGTCTGCCACGAGCACCTAATTGCTTCCCACCAGCTCATATTCACGTTAGGGACATCTCCGCCAATATTGTGCAATGATGCCACTACCTGTCTTATTGAGTTGCCTTTGGCGATGGTTTGTGTTTCTCACCCTACTCGACTACGGTATCATACCGGTATGCTATCAGGTAGAGAGGGAAATGGGTGCCCGTTTCTAACCTTATGCCGTCCGGCAAAGGGTAGATAGGTCTTATGGTTGGGGATATTTCTACCATACCGTTTTCCAAGGATGTTGAGAGGTTCAACGTTCTCAGCAGGGTTGGGTGTGCTCGTTTGGTTTTTAGCATCTGGGAGTATGATAAATATCTCCCACTCTGGTCCTGACTACCCCTCTACCCCTTCTACTTTTGCGCCTTCAATGCTATTGACGTTTGTGATTATCCACTTACGTCCTCTTTGTATCTTGGGCCCAGTAAGAGCACGCAGATATTGTCCGAGGAGTATACCGGAGAAGCCTATTCAGTCGGGATTTAGTACTCGTACTCGAGTAGTGCGGTAGGCTGCTGCTTGTACTATACTCGTACAAGCGCAGGATAGGTGCCGTACACTTGTAGATGTTGTAATACCGGTAATGCAGCACCACCTCCCTCGGAGGAGATATCGTACCTGACCCGGATGAGGAACGCTGACTTGTTGGGGGGTCTCACCTTTGCGGGTCTTGATCCGGGATCTGTACTACGGTTCGAAGTGGTTCGAAGTGGTACATGACGAGAGCTCTTGGTTCACGATGCGATTTCGCTGCTGGTTCGACTAAATAGATTATAAGAGGCTAATGCTGCGGGGGGAGAGGTTGGGTTGTCAGTTGGGCTTCCAAAGTGCGGGATGTTGGCTTGAAAATTTTTCAATGCTAGTGATTGAACTTTTCTTGTTCCATGTTGGGCATCCAGGTGGTGGCGATCCCCGTAATATCTGATACAAGGTGTCCAATCTCAACTCGCGAATTTCAGAGGCATCCGAACACCCTGGCGCAAGGGATCTGCGCTCTTGGTGGGCTTTGGAATCGAGGGGCCCTGATACAACTGGTTCCTATGAGGTTTCGCAAATATCGAGCTCGGCACTGTAATTTAGTCTACTTGTTGTACTCCACTCGAGTACAGTGACCAACCGTCTCGCAAACCACCAAACCATGTTGCAAACCACCTCCAGAGCCGGTGCCAGTACTCCAGCATTCATTTTCCCTGTCCGCGGTTCATGGATCACGGGTCTACTGTTTGGCCCGCGCTGGGCCGGCGTGGTGAGACTACCTATTCGCACAGCCGCCAACTAGACTACCGGCGTCGTAGTCTAATACTCTGGAGATGGGATGGAGCAGTGGAATATCAGCTTTCACAAGCAACACTCAGAAAGTCTCCCGCGAGCCTCATCACCGGTCCCGTGCGCAGAACACCGGTATTATGCCATCAAGAGCACGCAAGAGAATCAGCATACGGTAGTCTACTCGAGTCGAGTATTGTCAGAACGCTGCTACTGCATCAGAACCCTGGCGTCCAGGGTCCAGGGCTGACATGTGCCGTAACTTATGACGATGTTGGCATAGAGGCTCAGGCTAAAATAAAAATAGGATAAAAAAAGAAAAGGCGGGATATGTGGCTGTCTCACCCTAAACCTACACGAAAATCTCTGGTCTCCTCCGATTTCTCGCGGTATCGTGCATGCCCAGGCACAAACGATGAACGAAGAAAATAAACAGGGCAAACATCGCCTCCATCTTCTAACACCGAAACCCCAGCGCCGAACTTTAAGGACCTCAACGTTAATTAGCAAACTCATCAAGAGCCTGATTACTTGAGTCCCTACATTTTCTATGGTCTCCTGTGCTGCCTACAAATATCGCACGTCCCGCCTGCAATCAAACCTGAGCGCTTTTGTCAAGTTATATAACTCAGGAGATAGACGGGTACTTCCTTAGGCCACTCAAGCCTTTATCGGGGGAGAGACTTGACATCCTCAACAAACTCCTTTTTATCTCGCTAGCGGAAGAATCCTTTCAATAACCGTATAGATCAACCTTTTTAGCATCGCTGTAAATTTTGATTTGTGGCGGGGTGATATGGGAAGACCGTTGTTTACCCCACGGGGTGTCTGGGTCTTAAAAGATTCGTACGGTGGGTCTTCCTCTATCGGTTACCGAAACCACCTTCTATCTTCATGGACTAACTCCAGTATTTATTCAATAGCCTTTATATCAAGATTCTGCACCGATTCTACCTCAAGGGTCCCACCCGGTTGTCCTCACAGTTTTCCGCACCGCTCTATCTGTGGCTACTCGTTTTACCACTCCGTGGTACGGCACGGCTCAAAAAAGCTAAGGCCTCCTTCGATATTCAAAACTAGGGTGGAACCGTCGCTCCATGTTTGCCCTGGTAGGGGAGGTGGAGGTGGGAGGCGTATGTTCCACGATTATTTTACTACGCATTTGCCTAGGGCGGTAGTCGAGTCTGAGTGCTCGTCTAAATCCAGGTTAGTGTTAATTAAGTTTTTTTCCTCAATCCACAATTTTTCAATTAGACATTTATATGGCTCCGGACGGTGTTTTGGACAACCCTGAAAATCTCTTAAAGATATTTCCCAGCTCCCTAGCCCCGGCTCGTATATCCCCTAGCTAGAGAATCACAAAATATCACTCATGTTTTGAAATCATTACTAACACCCCCCCAGTGAACCTCATGATACTGTAGTCCGCATCCCACTCCGGTCTGCAAGGCAACACTTCGGGGTGTCTAGGTCCCGTGGAAATCGGCCCTATAACGAGGACTGGTATCAAGCTGGAGTGATAGATATTCCGCCCTTCACACTTTCACCTGATTCTGCACCGACCGATCCCTGCGTATTTTATTTTGGGGTGTTTGATGGCCACGGTGGAGAGGATTGCTCGGCTTTTGCCAAAGACTACCTACACACGTACATTGAGCAGAGTGTTAAGACTTTTTCCGGGAGTGAGGAACAAAAGGCTTCTATGCAAGCCCAATTGGTTTCTGCTTGGAAAGACATAGTAGGTGGATACTTCAGAAGGTTTCAGCCAGATTTTGGAGGAAGGGGGGAGGCCGGGGAGATGGAAGCTCTTTTAACATACGCGTTTTTGAAAGCCGACATGGACTTCATCACACGGGCCAAACCATGGTTTCTTCCTGGTGAGAGCGCTCTTCAAGAAGGGGCTCCCAAAAAGCCCACCAACTTTAAAGGCGGATCAACTGCTTCCGTAGCACTCATCTCTACTCCGTATGAGCTATTCCTTGCCGTTTGTTTTTCAAAACCTTTGAATTATTTCTGATCAAATCTAGTACCGCAACTCCTTTCTGGGACCCTCAAACTTCTGCGACACTCGTAACCGCACACATTGGCGACACTCGCATCCTCCTTTCCTCGACCTCTACAGGGCTTGCCCTTCCGTTAACAACAAACCATCATCCCTCATCACCCACTGAATCGAGGAGGCTTCGTCGCTATGCAACTGCTTTTGTCTCGGATTCTTTCGGTGAGGAACGCTTTGGGACTCTTGCAAACACTAGGTCCTTTGGGGACGTTTCTCAGAAGCGCCTTGGAGTGTCAGCCGAACCTGAGGTTTACCGACGCGAGCTTGAACCTTCCGAATATTCATTCATAGTCCTCATGAGTGATGGGATTAGTGGAGTCTTGACAGACCAAGAGGTCGTCGACATCGTGAAGGAATGCAGAACTCCGGACGAGGGAGCTAAGGAACTGGTTGAGTTTGCCGAAGAAGTTACTACAGAGGCTGATAACACAACTGCGGTTGTCGTCAGGTTGGGCGGGTGGGATCAGAGAGCCGAAGGCGGAGAGGGATTTATGGGAACGAAGGATCTGAGAGCATGGAGAAGGGATGAAGCACTCGCTGGCTCTCGAGGTAGAAGGATGTAGCAGTCTTGATTGGAGGGCATCATTCACCATAGCATGCAAGCGTTACCCGTAGTAGATTTCCTATGGGCGTTAGCAATCCCTGGGTGACACTGGAGCCTTTGCGAAAAGGCTCTGGATGTGAGGCAAATGCGATTCTGGAGCAACCAGATGGCTGGGGTTTGGCCCTGGGTGCGAAATCGCAAAGTCCCTATTTCATTAGCATAGACCAGTGTTCGATAAATGTATCAGTTTTAATCTCTTACCGTATCGTTTTGTACTCGAGTACATTGGTCTTTCAGCAATTCCGACATCATATGACTCCAGTCGGTACCGAAAGGGGTGCCCAAGGCCAAGGCACAAACTCTCTCCACAACCGAACTCACGGACCTTGGCCGTCTCTAGGAGGTGTTAATCATGTGAGCGAATAAATGCTGCGCTCAAGCACAGCATGCTGCACTACAGTACGAAACATATCATACAAGTTGTTATCTTTAACACACACACACAGGCAGCGAAAAGAGAAGAGCCAAAATTTCCGTCTAAACGGGTTCAAGGAACAATTGATCAAAATCAAAATCAAAAAAACGAATTGTCCTGCGCATACTTGAGCCTTCAAGCCCCGATACCGATGATACTCCGGCACAGTACCGGTACGAGTACAGCTTGATGAATATTACACTCTCGCAAATCTACATACCACCCCCGCCCCGCCAGATGCCCCTCGGAGACTAGCTCCGCACTAGCGCAGGATCGTTTTTAACAAACTGTCAAACAAGAATCTGTACTCGAGTAATAACAAGAGGGACAAGACATCGGCTTTGCATGCATGATACTTTATGATACAAATGTGGCAAATTGTCACTAGGGCAATACCATGATGGTCAAATTATCACGGCCTTTAATCTTATCCCTGCTCGAGCCACTAGAGAATTTTCTCGGGCGGCTGGATGACGGAAGGGCCATTTAGCAAGTGACTCAGCGAGCAGGCACCAGCAGCTGAATATCATAGACTAATTACTCGTACAGACTATCAACGGGTTGGGAAAATAAGGGAACAACCATCCCCCCCGGAAATCAAACCTACAATGAACTCCCAATAGTCTACTCGAGTACGGTACAAGTACTCGAGTAGTGCCAGTACAGCACAAGTTACTAAACCAACCATCCGGAGATACCGAAAGGAAAAAACTCCTCTCAAAGGCAGACAGGCGGTAACCTCATCACCCTTCCAATCTACCGTACCCCCCCTCCCTTTCCCTCCATCCCCATGCATTGCCTCGTTCCCGCCGCTATTATGATGCTAGCTTTGTTGTCATTGCTGCTCCCACCTACCACCAGCAGAACCACTATCGCTATAACAGTTAGTCAATACCCTTCCCCACCCCCCTCCTCGTTCCTGCAACCGAGGGAAACGAGGGCTTTAGTCCTAGCCCCGCTCGGGGGAGAAAAAAAACTTCCCCCCCCCATCGCCACGAGTGAGCGGTCATGATGCCTCGTTTGAAACGTGAATGTCATGTTGCTCAAAACTCCCTGGGCCGGTCACTCGCTCTCTCTCTCGCGAGAGGGATCCCTTAACTTATTTCCAGGCACTTGCATGTTTTTTTTTTCTTTTCCCTTTTCCGATCCCGCGGTTCTAAGGGGTAGCTAGCAACGGTGGTTAAGTATTCAACTTGGCGAAGCTCAAACCCGTTGATTGGCTAGTGAACATTTCTGTAGTACCGTAAATGAGACTTACTGCTCCTTTAATAGGCGATATTCGGACCTAATCAGGGTTGACGGCCTCCGCGCTAATGGGGTGCCCGAGATTCGGTGCGGACTGAGGTACTCGAGTACATGGGTGGGTGGGTGGTCGATCTGCCCCACACACCAGTTCTTGGTTCTGGTTCGGCTTGGTATTCACATGGCGGAGAGAATAAATGATAAAATCTTCACACACACACACACACATTAACCCATACTCCCTGCAACTCTCACAAAGTCACTTTGCTGGGTATGGCGAAATGCCGGCCCGGAGAATCGGACAAAAAGATCGGCAGGCTCGAGTGATACCATGTGATGGTATTTGTTTTCGTTCCTTTTCTCATTTCCCCCCCCCTCTCCAAAGTTTACACACACCGCGCCGCGCCACCACACCATGAGCCCAGTGCGAGCCGTATCATACTCAAGTACAGTAGAGGGGCCCTAGGCTTCATTCCCCATCATATCATAACAATGTCTCGTCCACTCTTTCAGCCCACGTATTTCGTCCATCCATCCATCCATCATCATCATCATCATCATCAATTTTACTCGAGTACTATTATTGGAAGTGAGTGAGTGAACAGCTTCTTCAACGCTTGTTCTTTGCTTGCCTGTTCCGGGAAAGTTTTAGAACGCGTACTCGAGTAGGGACTAGAATACGGTTATTGTTGTTGTGTGCGGTATGAGTGAATATGTGTGTGGTTTCGGGGAATGGGACATGGAGATCTTGATTGATAGAAGTAATCTACGTACTCGAGTACTTTACTGTGGAAGTGGAAGGGTGGCTCGTTTTGTTTTCTCGTTTTTTTTTTTTTTTTTTTTCGTTTTTGAGTTCTCTTCTCTTCTCCTTTTCTCCGGGGAGGGATACCGTACTTATCTCTTTCTCGGTTTGTGCGTGCGGGGGTGGTGCTTGTTTGATTGGTAGTTCTAGCTCCGTTATGCCATACTCTACAAATGGATGGGATGGGATGGGATGGATGGTGGAGATGGGAGGTAACTCTGCGGATGAAGGTGGTTGGTTGGTTAGTTAGTTCTTTCTTCTCTATCTCGTCTCGTTTTTTTTGTTTTGTTTTGTTTTGTTTTGTATCATAGCTATCTGTAGCTGTGGTAGTTAGTTAGTCTAGTGGGGAGTTAGACTCATGAAGTGAAGTGATGTGATGTGACACGCCCTCCTCCTCCTCCTCCTCCTCCTCAAAGTCCCTGGGGAGAATGCTGTTTTGGACGGGTAGCGGGATGGATGGATGGATGGATGGAGAGGAGTGGGGAGAAGGAGTTATGCAAGGAAAACTTTTATTTTTATAATGTTTCGGTTCTAGTACCTTGTTAGTAAGTTCTAATTTGTTAAATTCCTCCCGATGATATGATACCTTAGCACACCGATATTCGAGCAGTTATTGAAAATAAATGAAGTGTGGGGGGAAACCAATGGTATGTATGATATCCCATTCCAGTACTCGAGTATGGGAGAAAGAAAGAAAACCCTAAGGAGGTGTGTGTACGAGTACTCGAGTAGGATATCTACTCTACTCTGCGGAGTGTGGTAAGAACTGGGGAACGAGAAAAGAAAGGAAAAGAAAAAAAAAATAGTGAGAAGGGAGAAGGGAAGGGAAGGGAAGGGAAAGGCTGTGGGGGGAAGAGGGAAGGCTTACCGTTTACTTTCATGATGGGGGGGGGGGGAGGCGAGTTAAGTTAGTTACACTTTTACTATCATGGTATGGTACTCGTACAAAGTTATCGTACTTCATTGTATCATACTTGTAGGATAGGATGGAAAAGAAATGGTTTTTTTCTTTTTTCTTCTTTTTTTCCCTTACTCTTTCATGCGTTTCCCTTGATTTTTGCCTATCATATGCGTGAATCCTAAGAAAGGAAAGGGGAAAGAAAAAAAGTAAACTTCTACAATACACGCTCGTTCAATCACTCATCTTTTTGTTGTTTCTTTTTTGTTTTTTTTAGTAAGATGACCGACCGAGCGAGCAAGCAAGTAAGCAAGAGAGTAATAAAGAGAGAAAAAGAAGTGAGTTAGTTAATGGAAATACCGTAACCCCTTCCCCCCCCCCAAAGAGACCCAAAGGAAAAAGAAAAAAAAATGATGGGATCGAGACATGAATAAAGCAAATAAGATAGGTAGAACTCCTTTAGGATGTCGAAATAGTTGAAGAAGAAAAAAGGAAACATGAGATGCGTAGAAAGAAGTAGAAAAAAACTCCGTAAGGAAACCCGTTTCCCTTTTTTTTTTTGTCTGTTTCTACCATCTCTCTCTCTCCTCCCCTCTCCCCCGCCTCTACCATGATGATGACGATGATGATGCCCTCCGTTCCCTTTCTGTTGCTTGCTCTCCTCCTTTTGGTAATGAACATATGCTTCATGTACAATTAGAGATAACAGGTTGTCGCTATGTCTGTGTGTGTGTGTGTGAAAGAAGGGTAGTTACTATATGTGTGATACGATAGATATGAGGTAGTGACAAAAGAGATGATGACCCATGAAAAAAACCAGTAGAAGAATAGAAACCCAAGATTTAGAAGAAGAAGAAACCTATTGAATAACCCGTAGTAGTTAAAAAAGACCCCGATGAAGTGGAGGTTGGAGAAGATAGAGGAGCGGAGAGAAGGAAAGAAGCTAGTCAAGAGAGTAATGGCAGGTAGCCAGCTAGAGAATAAGATAAAAGAGTTGAGAGATATAGAAAGAAACCTTTAGGCCAGCCCAGGGATGTACTCATTACGCCCAGTCATCTTCATATGCGTCTTCTTGTGAGTCTGAAGATTATCGTTCCTGCCGAACCTCCTGCCACAGATGGTGCAGGAGAAGGGCCTCTCGCCGGTATGCGTCTTCTCATGCCTCCTCAGATGCTCAGGCCTCTTGAACCGACTTTCGCAGTCCCCCACAGAGCAAACGTGCGGCTTGTCCCTCGAGCTGATGACGAGTGGGTGGGGAGCGCGACGCTTCCTCCTGGCGACGGTGGGCCCAGGACTAGATCCAGCTGAGTCTCTGTCCGACATGTCCACATCCTCCTCCCCCTCAGAGCCTATGCCCACCTTGGGCATCAGGAGTTCCAGGGCCGTCATTGCGGCGCACGCCTCCCTGGAGTTCGACTCGTGTCCCCACGGCGCGAAGGACTGGGAGCAGTCGAACATACGGTTGTGGGTGGTGTAGAGGCAGTCGCCGTTGCTGGAGCTCGGTGACAGGCTGTTCGACGAGTACCGTTGCGGGCCGTATTCCGGGTAGTTCGTGATCCGCGGGTAGGACTGGTCGTAGTTCGGGGTGCTGAAGTTCTGCTGCTGTTGCTGCAGCATGTCTTCCATCTGTTGAGAGGGGTGGAAGGCCGGGTCCAGAGGTGGGTTCGAGGTCTGATGGGCCCCCTCCACTTTTATCGAGAGGAGGTTGGGCGCGATGGACTGGCCGTTGTGGGTCTTACGCTCGCGTAGGCCGAGGAAGCCATCCTCGAAGGGCCTTGATGGAAAGCTCATTGGTGATGTATTGTCTGCTTTAGGGGCTAACGTTCTGTAGCAGGAAGGGTGACTCTGTGTGGTGGAACAGGAAGCCCCAGAAGACGTGGAGGAAATGGAGTAGGAGCGGAGGTTTGGAGAGCTCGAAAGTAGGTTCTCCTCGAGGCCTAGATATAAGGTTGCCATTTGAACGGAAATTCCAATCTATGCTGTGTTAGGTAGGTTCGTTGGAGGTAATAAGTATCCTTTTTTTTTTTTCTTAGGTGCTTGGGATTTGGTGGGAAATGAGAACTGGGGGTTTATAGCGGGCATAGACGCTACTTATAAAACAGCCCCAACTAGAAGATCCTAACAAAAAGGGAGGCTGATAGTCTAAATACAGTGCCCGCGATACGGCCGTGCCTAATTAGTTGTTTTTCCGTTTCCTTCCCTCCTAGAGGATTTGTTTTCCTAGCTGTCTCTCGGTGTCGACTCCAAACTTTCTAGTTCAAGTTGAGAAGAGAGGGTAAAGGAGAAGAAAAAAAATTAAAAAAAGGACCTGCCTCCCGCTAATCGATTGAGCGGGATAGTGGCTGGAAGATCGTATTGGAAATTGCTGATCAAGTCTGTATGAACCTGTAAGGGTTATTACCACTCCCCCCACCTCCCTCTCCATAGCATCTTGTCTCTTGGATTTATTTCACATGTATTTGCATTATAATACTCGTACAAACGGAGGCGAAGACCACTTTGGGAGGAGGGGGGAGGGGCAGGTAAGTATTTCCTATATCTCTACAACATGATCAAAAGGCACACAAGCTATGTGCATCACTTATGCCATGTCTCTAGCGGAGCTGAGTTGCTGCTAGTGCGATGTCATATCATAATTCTTTGATGGAATCCGGGTTAGGGATAATAAGGTGGAAGGGAAGAAGAAGAAAAAAAAATTAGGTCTCAAATTAACAATTAACGAGATGTGATAATATGCCCCCGACAGTTGTAGATCCGGTCATCGCCAGGGCTCCTTACCCATTAAAACCAATCCACCAATATTCCGAGACGGATGCAGCGTCGTTAGGTTCTTGCAGAAAGTGGCACTTGTCTCACAACTTGGACAGATTTGCCCACCGTCTCTACCCACACCTTCTTTCCATTATTGCCGGATGGAGATTTGGTGCAGAATTATTGCAGAATTCATCGAGAATGGTACAGCAAATGAAACAGTCGGTAATATGCGGAGTAACCGGGGAGAAAAAAAACCTAAGGCATCGGATAGCTACCTGACGGACGCTTTGGCCAGGAGGTCACCCGGTCACCGACGTGCGTTCATGGGACTCTTAGAAGGATAGGAAGTACTCGAGTACAGTAGCAATAACGATAATAATAATAATAATAATAATAATAATAATAATAATAATAATAATAATAATAATAATAATAATAATAATAATAGCTTCACCTTCTTTCTTCAAGCAGAAATCGGGGGAATGGTCTTTTTCGCAGCCGCACACAGCCCAACCACACCTGGTCATTAAGAGCCCATCCATCCATCCAATGTCTGCTTTCGCGACAGAGTTCCTCTCCGACTAACCCTGCTAGCTTCACAGCCATTACAATACAGCTTCGGATCGAGAAGTCTAAAATGCTCAATTGATAGGACGGCGCTAAGTTGGCATTGGGCCCCGTCGAAGCCATTGAAAAACCGGATTTTTATTTTTCGACACTGGGGAACAAGCTCTCTTAGCCCGGGGAACCGTTGGAAATTATGTGGGATACTACTGTAGAAATAATAGAAGTTTGAGTCCTAAAACCCGGTTGTTGTCAAAAAGGATGCGGGTTCTGTCCGATCCCCCTCTCAGCGACTCCACGAAGATCACCTTATCTACGCCCCCCCGTCTCGCAGCACGAACCGCGGTTGGTTAATTGACCGAAACCACTGGATTGAACAAGAGTCCACCGTTTTCGTACAAATTACCGGCATCTCAAATGTATTGATTGACTCAGAGCCTGAGGGCTTGAGATCACTTGACGTCACTTGGGTGGCTGACCTCAGCGAAGTGGTATCTTAGGCTCTTTGTCACAGTAAAATACCAATGTCGAAAGCTTAAGGCAGAATCTCGCAGGCAATTCCAGACAAGCATGTTCAGGTTACCTACCCCCAGACCCACATTCCCAGGAAATTCGCAGTAGGCTGATCTCCGACAGAAGCGCCGCAAGAAATACCAGTAGCTTCACCATTCCATCCCCTTACCTTCTCTCAGGTCTTGAACAACCTAGCGCCAAGACCGGATCGTATTTACCTTGCTCGGAGGATCAGATGGACGTGCTGTTTCGTGGATGATGGCCCGGAATGTGCCGTGACATTCCCCAAAATGACACCCTTGAGTTGCCAACATCTAGGGGAAACAGGGACCGAAGTTCGCAAAGGCTAAGTAAAGGCCTTCTCTCTAGTTTTGAAGCAATAACAAAACTCAATCTGGCGTACGCGCCATGCAGGGGACTGCCCCCTGCTTCCCTATACCCGTAAAATAGCTTGAGCGCATCTAGCCCTTGACTCCAGTGGGAGATGTTATAAAAAAATTTAATGAGTAGACCTTCTATTTAGGGGACTGAGGCATTTGATCCTGAGACTTCCTCGTTTGCCCCAGTTTTCTCTCTCCGGAATGGTCACCCGAGCTCTCCTATTTCTTTGGAAGCAAGTTCGAAAGAAGCGTGTCACAATTGAGCGGGTCTCTCTCTCTACTCGAGTACTCGAGTATCACGAACGAGACAACGTGCTAGAAGGGACATTGCGACGAGAAATTATTTGACCAGCTCGCTCGAGAGAAAAACGAAAACTCAATGTGAAGTCGTTCGAGTGAATGATCCTTGCTCAAGGGTGGCCCGAAATCGCTTGCCCCAGCTCACTTTTTTCCACTAGCTCAATCAGGTCCCACCTCACACTACCAGCCTGAATTCTGTTGCATAACTATCCGCGCTTTCTCAGCTTCTGCCAGTCACGTCGCCGACCGCATGTTTTGACCAGGAAAACCCAGTCCAGCGAGGCCAGACAGCGGCGTGTAATGCCCCATTCCCCCGCTCAATAACCTCGAATTTCTCTGGAAGCCCCGCCATGAGGTGCATATCCGATCCGACTCTTAGCCGTGAACCTTTTTGCCTTCAGGTACTCTCAAGTAATTTGAAAGCCCTCAGTCCCCCCACCTTTTCCTCTAATCTCTTGTGTGTGGACCTCCAATATAATATGCATCTGTCTTTTTGCCAAATATACAGGTACAGTCTCCCGCGGATGCACCCAGTTCCGACTTAGGAGCTTAGCGATTTTTTGAGGCTCTGTTGAATTTTATCCCGTCTACGAGCTGTCACACTCATGCAGCATCACTCGTGCGCTTTGGTGTGCGGTTATGACTGCGCCTATTTGCATGTGCTTCTAGACGGGTGGCGCGTAGCGTTGCCCGAAAGTCACTTCTACTGCAATGGAGAATGACAGGAAAGGATAACTCCAATAAACACCTTTACCAGTATTGTACCCATGTATCATAATATATGCACAAGGGGGGGTTTCTCCCCTTGATCTTGATTTCTTTCTTCTCTCTTTTTCTGGCTCTCTTTTCTGGATTTCCGTGGGCAATTAATTGGCGTCAATTGCGGCTATGATTAGGCTGCCATGGGATCGTGGTGGATGGTGAGGGGCGCGTTTAGCCCCAGACCAGGACGTGTGAGACTGCGACGGGGTCGCCTAATTTAATTTCGGCGAATAGCCAACCTATCTTCCCACCTTTCTTTCCATGCAATTTAACGGCACAGTCAGCCCAGAGCCATGGAAATTTAACCTGACAAAAGGAAGAAGAGAAAGAAGACGGTACAAGTACCATAGGTGTAACAACTGCCTCTACGAGTACTCGTACAGTACTCGTTCCAGCGCCGGGCACCTACTCGAGGCAAGATTAATTTGTGGGACAGCGAAATGCAATCAGCCAGCTCAATCCACCCTAAACTAAATGAGAGGTCCTATTGCCAGACCAGATCTCGTGCTCCCAAGCAAAGGGAGTGCCGTAAAAACACTGATCTCTGTAGGCTACCGCATTGAGGTTGTGGTTGTCACGATGGTTGAACATCGGTGGGTAAAGTGGCTGTGCCCCCGCGAGACCTTCTTGTTCCCCTCTGTTTGCTTAGTGATACATACATACAAAATTAGTACCACGACATATGCATATGTTCCCCGCCCGGATAGCGCCATTGCATACCCACCGTACTACCCATATGATACCAAAATCTTGAGGCTCGGCTGATCTTTTGTCCATATGCAATAGCAGCTATGCTGGCGAAAACGTCAGAAAAATTACGGGTAGAGTTGCCACAAGGTACAAGTACCAGCAGTAATAGCTATCATTATCGATCGGAGCACCTTCATTCTCCCAAGTCATGATCGGGTGAGGCAGGAAGAAGAGAGAGAGCCCTTCGCACACAACTTCTCACCCACCCACCCACACTTCCGCATCTCGTACCACTTGGAGTTACTCGAGCACTACTCGCACACTCAACTATACTGAGTACTCGAGCAATTGTACCCGCCAATTGGTAAAGTGTCCGGAAATAGGGGAGCCATGCTCCTCGAATCTGGGCGCAAAACACAAATTCCCGGCATCCTTGTGTCCGGATATCATACTTTACGAATGGACGAGTGGCACACACACGCAGAGCTTAAAGTCACTCACGGGACTGCATATGCGAACCAGCGCTTCCTTGCCCTGCAAGCACACCTCCCAATATTATTACGCCATACTTGTACTGTACAACGGAAACACGCAGAAATGAGCCCCCCAGGAAAAAATGGAAAAAAAAAGAAGATAGATAAGGTTGTCATGTCACTTCGCACTCCCGTCGGTTGTACAGTACTAACACCTGTAACCGGAGCATAAATAATAATAATAATAATAATAATAATAATAATAATATGGGATTTATCAAATACAAAGGTACATGTACCACCTATACTTGAGTATCATTATTCATTCATTTACACGCCTGGTGATACGACTCGGGAGTGGGCAATATGCAGTCTGGCGCGTACGACACCCATGTTTGCTTGCGCTTACGGTAAATGTGGTAAAGATTGGAGTTGGAGCCTTGTTTCGCGCGTGTGACAAAAACCAGCGTTGGCAGTGACCTGTTGTCAGTTGTCACTCCTAAAATTTGACGACCACTGGTCACCCCCCCTTATGCCATGATCAGTAGCCAGAGCCAACCGCCGCGGGGCTCATTCTAATAAGATTGGGGTTAGGGCTTGAAGGGATCGGGTGGGGGAAGTCCGCCAACCTTGGCATTTGGTCATGGAAAATACAGAAGGATGTTGGCTTGAAGATTAGAAACCCAAACTTTGAAGCTTGAAATTAAGTACGAGTAGATTTTATGCCCCCCCCCACAGCTTATCCTACCCGATATTATCACTAGAAGCTGTCGATCCTCCGTCGGTTCGCCAAGGAAAGCTTGACTGCCCGTCAACCCTCGTCAACCCCTTCCGGTGACCAGTGGTCACTGTCAATGGTCATGGTCAGGGCCAGTCAGTACATCAGGCATGGCCGGCGCCAAGGCTGCATAAAACCTGCCTCAGCTCAAGCACCATACACAGCGCAGATGCGTGCACATTGCTCGACTTCGCTTTCACTCGCTCTGGACAATACCCTAACTCGGCCGGAAAACGGAGAACGAGGAAAAGAAAAGAAACTCATGCCGCATACGAAACAAGGGGTGTGATATTTCCTCGCCTCAACCTCACTTCACCCTCAACGCCGCTACTCGGAGGCACTAGAATCCAGCCGTACAAGTATTTCTGTCACACTCATATTGCACTCGCGCGTCTTTGCCTCCGCCAGCCGACATTTTGCTGGATATTTGGTAAGGACCGGACAAAATATTTGGCTGGCCGAGGCCTTCTTGGCAAGGACGTGCGAGCATAATATGATACGGCAAAGATAGAGATCGAAAAGACCGAGACCTTTTCCCCTATCTACAAGCCCCAATACGCCAATGGCGCCTTCTCCGGATTTTCGCCGGTAGCGGGCGGGTGAACGAGCAAGCCATCGTCACTCGGACAGCACTACCTACCCTAGCTCTCGCTTTCACGATGCCAGAGACCGTGGCTCCAACTCCCAGATATCGAAAAAGGGGCCCGCTCGGGCTCATTTCTCTCTCTCTTGCTCCTCTGCGATGTGCAGTCCCCGCATCGATAATCGCTCCCTAAACAGTTCGGGATGCCGATGTCGTGCAGTTCGCGTTGATGGGGATCCGAACGCAATTTTTCGACCTGGGGGTGTGGAAAGTCCGTAGGGGTATCGGAAGCTCTCATTGGGAGAGTTGGAGAGTCTCATCCTTTCCCCTTCCCTTTCCTTGCGGCCTATCTGGGGTGATCAGAGCGATGACCATGCCAGGATTATGGAAGCTAGACTAGAGGGAGGGGGGATAAATCTCCGCACCACCCCAATCACACAATGTCACTCCATTATTTATCCCAGCTGTATGCGGGGGGAGAAGGGTGTAGCTGTTGACTCCGTAAATCATACCACGACATGATAGTCCCTACGCCCTCCTTTGTTCCTTTATCCCTCCTCACTTATCCAATTATTTCGGTTCTGTCTGGAACCTGTCATGAGATCATGGATGTGAAATTGTCATCGGCGGATGCGGTGGAGGGATCGTGATGGCCTTGCTGTTGCTGGCATGCTTCAGTGAGTTTACGGGACGTACACAGTACGCGCAATTGCAAAGTACCCACCTTCTACGAAAGCGTTGTGCTATTTGAACTTAATGTTTGAATCCGATACTCGAGCAGTGTTCAATCCTGGAACACCTGCAGGACCCTAAGCCACCAGATTTAGAAGTGGAGTTGCGGTACCGTTACGCGAGCCAAAACTCCGACAGCTATGATAGACAGGGCGGTAGCTCATCACAACGTTCTTTCTTTCTTTTTTCCTTTTCTTTTCGGGGAAGAAAAATAAGCAAGGTCATTTTGTGGAGTGAGACCTGTAGGGAAAACGTGCGGATTGGCGATAAGAGATAACTTAGATATGACAAAAGGAAAGCCGTGGTTGGCAGCAGGTTGGTGGATTGGTACAGTACTCGAGTATAAATTCGGCTTTAGCCCAAATGTTATATCATTACTTTGGTCAGGAAATGCAAAGGCACACGGCACAGGGGTTTTTATAGAAGAAGGTACGGTACGGTAATCGGTACAACATTGGGCGTTAAGCTCGAGGCCCAATTTACTCTTTCTTCTTTGTTTTTTTTTATCCCTTTTCCAACGCTTAAAATAACTTTATCCTTCTGCAGATGAGCAATCACCAACACGGTCCTGTGTGTAGGGCAAACCCTACCACATACCGCGAGAAGGCAAAGGAACCCACCAGCCAAGTATCTCTCCCCCCGGTCCTGCACGCTTAATTGGTATTGTGCCAGGGAAGCGGGGACAACAAGAGAAGAAAAATCCGTGTTGGCTCGAGGGAAGTTCGTTCTTCTCAAAAAACCAAACGGACCCCATGTTGGGTTTACCAACTCCGCATGCATTCCACTGCCAGTTGTCCGCAAGAAGCTTAACTCCAGGCCCCCACGACAACAGAGATGGGCAAAATAGGAGAGGTGGCAGGGAATCATTAGTGAAGGGTATCCCAGGGCAGGCTTTCTAGTCATGCTCCAGGACGCCATGGCAAGCGATTACTGGCTAGTTTCCTTCCACCGTACCACCGAGAGCCCAACTAACACTTCACCGCCCCCGTGCTCGCCCCAAAAGCCGCAACCAACGTTACTGGTAAGCTTAGTTGTTTTGTACGAGTACGCCGCACAAGTTGGTGGGACGGCCACGAAAACCTTCATTTCTTTTGCCCGAGGAAGCCGTCTTTGAATCCTGTATATAGAAACCATTTCCGGTCGGGCGTGATTACGTTCTTGAGATTCCATTTCTTTCCCCTCCTTTGGTCATCTTCAGGGAAAAAAACTTCGAGTTAGAAGTTTGGCTCGGGGTTTTTGGCTTTCGGTATTCGTCGAATCCGAGCTCGCCTTGTTTTTTTTTCCCTCCCCAACTCACCCTACAGTTTCGATAGAGGTGATTGTTCGTCGATAAAGGGAAAACTAAAGCGAAAAGGGCAATGGGGAAAGATGTATCGAGAAAAACGAGTTCGTGGCCTAGATACAACTGGATTCCTATCGCGTTACAGTTGCTATCCGCTGCGGTTGTCTTGGTCTGCCTTGGTTGGTATGGCCTGAGTGATAGATCCGGATTACCTGTGGACTTCATGTGTTGGTTGCCTGGCGTCGCAGTATGTTCTTTAAAAAAATTTTCTTCTCGAGTTTTGAAAAAAAAAAAAAACGCGATTGCTCTCTATCTATTGTTTCCCTTCCTGCAATCGGGGAGTGTCGTCGCCCCGGATTCTGAAGGATTTTGTTACTGATCAGGGCCGAGGGGATTTAAAACAACGTGCAGGCAGGATTCACATTATTATACGCAGTCCTCGGTCTCTCCGCGAGTAACCTGAACGTATACGAGGTCTTTATTGGCGATGCGATATCGCTCGGTTTTTGGATCGCAGTAATCTGCAAGATGACTCTACTCATCGCGGAAACGGGCACTTTTGGCAACTGTGCCGCCCTCCCTGAAGGATCCAGGAGGAATTCTTGCGCAACTTCACAGATAGTGCTAGTACTTGCCGCTGACTTGAGGTGGGACCCTTTTTCAATTCCAGAAGATGGCATCGGGGGGTTGCGAGAAGGTGGAGGAGAGTTTGGGGGGAGGAGGGGGTGGGGGCAAGAAGGGGAAATCATCAGATGTGACACTTTTTTTGAATTTTATTTTCTAACAACCTACTGCCTTTTTAATAGTGCCTTGTCTCTGACAAAACTCGTCATCGCATTCTTCGTGCGCCGAAGAGGACCTGCTGTGTCGCCGGACCTCGATGATTGCGAAAAACTCTATAACCCATCCGAATGAGTTTCCGGATCGACCCCCTGTCTAAGCATGGGAAACAACATCTAGATCTCCCGCGGGTAGTCACATACTGTATTAGCGGGAAGTCTAAGTCCGGTGGGAACTGTCACACTGTAGGACAGTGCTGGAAAACTTTTTTTAATCGTAATATGGGCAACGACGGTGGAAGCGGATCTGCCATCGATATCTATCGCGGGGCGGAGCTTGTGTGTAATCGGAAGCATCCTCTTCGCCTCTTTAATATATTTTTTCTTTTTCTTCTTTTTTCCCCTTCTTGTTTTGTAAATAAACTACCTTTCTTTTTACAAATTTGCTTTCCACATGCTTAGAAAGGTTTTACTTTTACTTGTACTGTACATAGTTCTATTCATCCTTTCTATCACAGATCACCGTTTTTTTCGGTTACCCTTCATCTTTATTTCGCTTTCTTTCTAGAAATCTGAGCCGTTGCCTGAAGTCGGGCGTTCGTTCAATCGCTCGAATTATCTGGGTTGCGGTGGGGAAAGGGGTGGGAGAGCGAGTAACTCACGATTGTGCCGGGAGAGCATGGCGCATGCGGATGGAGACTCGTGCTCAGTGGAGGTACCGGTATGTGGAGCGAGTGAGAGATCAAGGCATCTTTCTTGGCTTGTGCATTTCGGATATGCTCCCGGTGGGGGTTCTTTAGTTTCTTACCCACCCCCACGTGACTGGGCTCCCTGGTCCTTTGTATGATAGCGAATTGTTTTACCTGACCTCTGTGCACTTTGCTTCTGTAACTTGTCATCTTATTGGGTGGTTTATTCATAAAAATATTATCTTTCCTCATGATTTATACAACTCCTCGTGGGCATTCGTCGCCTTCCCTTCTGCTTCCTCGGAACAAAAACCTACCCTTCGCCGACTATCTCGGCCTCCCCAGATACACCTACGATCTCTCCTCTACCCTCCTTCTCCAATCCTCAATTAGGACCCACCCCTCAACAATCTGCACCCTGTTTCCGAACCTTCCTCTTATGCTCCCCTCCACTTCTGTACCCCACCATTTCCCTTCGCCCTTCCTAGTTTTCTCCTCCTCTTGCATCTTCTCGTCGTCGCTATCCATTAACTGAGCAAGCTGATCGTCATCTCCAATAAGCCCAACAACTACGTTCCCCACCCACCTGCCTTCAAGCAAAGTGGAGACTATCCCACCGGATGTGGGCAGTGTGAGAGGTTCTTCGATGTAAACGGTCTCAGGAGCCAAGGTGCGTAAAAGAGGAACGATAGATGATGCTTGTGTAAATGGAAGGATATGTTCAAGCGGGCACTCGGATGGAAGCATAGAGGAAGCAAGAGTGAAAGTGGACGCAGTAGGTGAGAAGTGGGATGCCGAGGGTTTATGAAGTAACTTATCAGAACTGCCCACTGGGGCCTCTACCACGGCTGCGGCTGCGGCTGCCGCGTGTTGGGAGCGAAATGCACTAGATTTGGAGAGTGGATGGGTTTTAAGTTGTGGCGAGTACACCAGAATGTTGACAACGGTATGAGTGAGGTCCAATGGGTGTGGTAGATGTGATAGAAGTGACTGAAAGATCTCAGTAGGCAATATGAGATAGTAAGAATGAAGTAACTCACTGATGGCAGGCCTGCTTCCTCAAAATCCAAGTCCGAGTCCTGCCCGAAAAGCACCTTTCTCTCGGACACGACAATCGCCACACTCTTCTTCCTTGTCGGCATCGGAACATATTGTTGCTTCTTCGATACCTCCTCGGCCTCTTTCTTGATCTCTCTCAGTGCTTCGGCTTTCTTTCTTTCCGAGGTTCCCGGCAATAGGTCTGCTGCTTTTCCAACCGCGTGCTCTATCCTGTCCACAACTAACGCTCCCGCCATCATTGTGCTGCTACTACCGGTGCTGTGTCTGGTGCTGCCGGTGTTGTGCCTGTGGGAAGATTTTTCTTTTCTTACTTTTTCGTCGCGTCCAGCATCTTCAATCAAGTCATCAGTATCCTCCTCCGTGATCCTGTCGAAATATTGGTGCCGTCTGGACTTGCGGGATCTTCCTCCGGCTTCGACCTCATCTTCGGACTCGTGCGGAGAGGTCCATGGGGTGTCGCTGCCGGGCCAGAAGTAGAGACCAGCGGTTGCGATCGCTGCGGTAGTCAGTGTGAGTGCAAGTGGAAGCAAAAAGTCCTTGCCGCTGCCAGTTGGGTGTGGGAGACGGCGGCGACCGGAAGACATTGGGCGAATGAGTTGGCCGTCAAGCGATAGTGAGGTTGTTTGGAGGAGAGTTTTGGAAGGTGAGCTGACACGACAACTGAAGGAGAGGTCAGTGGATCTTGGGCGTGAGAGTGGATGGGATGGCCGGACCACTGGGCGGCTGCCAGCAATAGCGATCCGCGCCCCGGATGGCTACCGGTAATCGAGATCCAGTTGCACAAATAAGTACTCGTAGCAAATTGTATTGTCACAGTATTTGGATTTGGACTCACACTACTGTAGTTGCTAGAATTATGCCGAGTACTTTTTCTTTATTACTCGATCTATATTTCCGTTAGTATTGCACTATCAACATCGCTTCGAACGCGAGAGTCGGTTACCCCTTTTTGGGGGATAATTTTTCCGTGTTTGCGTTGCACCAGAGCACAGTAAGACAGAGCACGGTACTGTGCTAGTACAGTACTATACCAGAGGTTTCTGTAGCTTGCCTTTTCGCATATTGTCACCTCTCGGGATAATGCCACTGATTTTTCTCGTTATTTGAAGGAAGAAAAGGGTTAAAAGAAGAGGTAATTTGACAGAAAAAGGATATTCTATTATAACATGGTCGGGTCGTTCGAGCAGATTGAAATACCGTGCGGTATTCATGGCGAGCAAACTTCAAGTAAGGCAGAACTCTCCTGGGACTTTCAGCAATTCTGGGGGGCTCTTGAGGGCCCATAAGCCCTTGTATCAGCGCGCAGGACGGTATTCTCGAGGTTAATTGGTGGTTGGGGGTGAGAATTGCGGATGCCATGAAAGATACTGAAATGGAGAGTTTTTCGGAGAACAAATGGTGGGCACAATCGAATTGCGCAGCGATTACGCGTATGTTCACGCTAGAGTTCAATCGGACCTTAGAATTAGTCTACACTTTAATGCAAACAGCTCCTCGAGCTCCTTATTTCTTCTCTTCTACTCTTCCTGGGGAGCCGTCACGCCTATTCACGGAAAACGGAAGACAGCCACGCCACTACTTGTTCTTCTGCCTCGGAGCCTCCCAGAGTATAGGGTATCAAATAGACTTGGTACGGATCCCCTAGCCCGGGGATCGATGTCAGTACAAGTACACAGGTACAGTATGGTAGACTTATCTGGATCCTTATGAGCACAGTTGTCACCGACGAACTGGTGGGAATATTTTTTGGGATTTTTCTGGGAAACGGAGCTCTGGCGCGGGCTCCGGACTATCGTGAGTAGAGTACGCAGCGTGTGCATGGCACAGTATCAGTATTGCTGTTGCGATATCTTAAGCTGCAATTTATTTATACGATTGAGCAATTGTGTTCAAGCACTGGCACGGTACTTGTACTCGAGTACTGGTGAATTACTTTCCGGCAGGTTGATGCAAGCCTGCAGAATGCGATTTCACCAGAAAGGGTTTGTGCCAGGATCTTGATAACTTGGCTCACCATGGCAGCATGGCAGATGATTTTACTCTGCAGCTAAAAAGCAAAAGCAAAAGCTGACTTGCACGAGCATAGCCATCGAGTGCGGTGCTCGAGTATAGTATATAAATTGCATGCGGTAGGGCAGAGGGTTGCAACGCTGGCAGGTTTCCGAATTACTAATATGAACGCAAGCTGTCTAGTTAAGCTTTTTGTGAGGTACTGGATTCCAGCGGAGGTTCATCGCTGACGACATCTGAGGAACCGATGCGCGTCGCCTTACCGGGAAGGAAACAAGGATTGAGGACACTAGAAGTTATGTAAGGCGCACTCGCGAGATTTATGTCTCAAATCCTTTCGTTAGTTTCCTTTTGATTTGAAATATTGGAAAACACAGTCTAATAAATTTAGGTGAGGAGGAACGGCTGCGAGTGAGAAACAGTGAAGAAAGGAGCGGAGGAAGACTGCTGGGAAATTTCCCGGCTCTAGACAATCGCGCTGACAGGTTTCTTGACCACTTGTAAGCGAGGGTGGATGGGTCTTTAGAGGTTTCATACAGGACAGGGCATCCGGTTCTACTACTCTAGGTCCTTGCTTTTCAAGACAGTGTCTCCTGCTTTGCTGGTAGATTTGCTGCTGCAGATACTGCACGGGAGGTGATATTCTTTCCTGTGTTTCCCCGGCTGGCCTGGCTGTTATTTTGATTGGTATCGTTCTTCTCTCGGTGCTGGGTGACTCAGGCAGGGTTGGGTCTGTAATCATCGGTAATCACTCGATGAGAGAAGTTAGCGGGTCAGCGAATAGGTCCCTCCACTGACGCTCCAAGATCTCAATTGGACAGACCCTCGCTTGTGTTGGAGACAAGAGCGGTTGAACTAGTGAAAAATATAGGCGATATCCTGGGGCATTGCGGGGCTGATTATCTCTAGTAGCGGATGGATCAACGGGGGATAGTAGGATGACACATAGCTCAGGACTTGAAGCCTTTGACCACACTGGGGGAGGGGGAGGGGAAGTGTCGGGTACTTTTGATCTGTACTGATCTGGGGCTCTGCGTAAAACATGATAGTTGCTTTTCGGGGGTTCGTATATTCGTGGTTCAATGAAGCCTGGGGAGCACCGAAACTGCTGCAGAGCTGAGGGTATATGAAGAACTCGATTGACACTTCTAGTGAGATCCACTTGTGTCAGAGGAGCATATTATAGGAATAGATACTAGTGGTGTTGATTGTGCTGACGTAGACACAGGGTTCGGACGGAAATCGGACTTAGGGATAACTTAACGTCCTGGTTGAACCCGGGCACCGCTTCTTAGTTTATGGCGACGGCCTAGGGTGGAAGTTGAGAGGGAAAGAGCCCTATCTTTGCAGTGGCTTCGTAATGGTGAAGTTGTCGGTTCGATCTAGCGGCCAATCGTTAGATTTGAGTGCTTGTCGGGGCGGACCATTTCTATGGAACATAGAAATTTCTTCTAGCAATTGTTGATACTGTGACGAGCTCGAATGGCTTAGTGCTTATCGGTGCAGGCGTCACTAGGGATACGATTGCTAGTCCAGAATTTTGGTTACGGGAGGGGCCATGGATGTGGGGGAGATAGGGGAGGGTGATGAAAGAAAGACTTGCCGGCCTGGCTCTCAGATATGGCGCATATATATATCTCCGGGCTCTTTACATGGATTTTAATTTGGCCCCATCCAGTCAAGGAATAGCTCCACCTTTCCTCTAGCGTTCCCAGAAGCCCGGTCCGTCCGTCTTGGAGGTAGGACGGGGCATGCTATGGGGCATGGTCCGTCTTGTTTTGGGTGCAGGGACTGCCTGGCCCACATGTAAGGGACTGGACCAGCTGTGGGCGCGGGTGCCCTGTGCTCGAGTATTTGGTAAACTCTGGTGATCAGGCTCGGTCCCCCGCGTTCCTCCGCTGTCCCTTGCATTATGCGACCAAAATATCCCCCCATACCACGGCAGCACAAGTCCCTATCTATCCACCATCCGGAACGAGCATTCTGGCCGCAAGCCCACCAAACTCGAGCTCTCCATACCTCGCTGCTCTAGAAAATACTTTGCCATTCCCTAGTACGGCAGGGCATGCATTCTGTTTGTGCCGACTAATTTTTTTGCTGAGGAAGGGAAAAAGACAAACTCAAACTCAAAAAGCATTTCCAAAAAAAAGTCAAGGCTCCTGGGTTTATCCTTTGCTTTATTTGTGTTAGATTGTTAATACATAATGCAGCTCATCTACTGGTATGCCGTAGCTAGACCTCCTAGCTACAGGCTCTATCTAATCCTTTTCCCATTCATGTGATTTCAACCCATTTTCGTTGGTTTATCATGAACGGAAGCACAGTTTCTTCTTCCTCATTAGTTAATGTATATATTTTCCCTTTCTCATCTTACCGTAAACAATTCTGGGCAACCGGCGCTTGTCCCCGCTATAGAGTAGATACCAGTAACTATATATACAGAGTACTTGTATCCTATAAGCTACAGTTCTTGGGGTTTGAGATGGCCAACCATCCTTCTTTTTTTCTTCCTTTTAGATGATTTTTTTCATTTCCCCATATTCTCATCCCACCTGAACACGATCACATGCATTGTTATGCCCGTTGATCAGTTTTGGTGTGCAGGAGGTGCGGGTACCGTATCTGGATCTGGTGAGATGATAATAGAGGAGGGGTTCTGCGTGCGGCGGGGTGCTTTTTTTTCCCACGGGAACGGGAGATCCTGGGTGCGCCGGATTGGGATTGGCGCATCGTAGATTACCGGCACCGCAGTACTGTGTGGTGGAGGTGGGAGTTAGAGTGTCATCATGGAAGGTCACTCGAGCTTGATGTCGGTGGTGGTGTTAATATCAGGAAGAATGCTGGACAGAAGTATGCCGGACACAAGTATTAGTTGCTATATTTCTGTCCGAGTGGGATAAGTAGGTCCCTTAAATACATAAAGAACTCTCATATATGTCATGTTACGATATGTAACCATCTCTCTGGGGCAACCTGAAGTAGGCAGGATGTCAATATCCAACAGGTGGGACAAGAGGGGTGAATTTTTAGGCACTGTGGATCCTCGGTTGAGGGGCTGGCGTTCTTTTCGGGAAAAGGCAAAGAGATAAATGATGACCCGAGATGGAGGATTGACCAGTTCTCTGGTAGCCTTGAAGTTGTTTCTATTAGCTTCTCCAGGGGTTATCGTTCTCACCTCTTCGGGTTTGATCACAACAATTGGCAGTAGGCCTCCGAGAAGTTTGCAGAATAGTTAATGGTCGGTAGTGGATGAAAGTCAATAATGCTGGTGATATGGGGACGATGGAAATTCACCGGTCAATGATCCCTCGACTCAGGAACTGAAAGCCTCTCATAAACTCAGAGACTTTTCCGCTGTTGCTTGGAGGTGTTCTCTTCTTCGTTCTCTCTCTCGGGAATCCCCTGAACTAGCTACATATAGGGGTAGTCAGTCCCCTTACCCATAGTTTCTCTAAGTGCTGACGACGATATCTTGCGGTTACATACTGACACTACGTGACCACCACTCTCTGTCCGTCCACACACCTAACAGCACCTTGAGTTAATACTGTGGGGCACGTATAGTGGATGGTTTACGGGTGCTCTATGACAAAGCATGTTGGCGTGGCGGGTGGGCCTCTGACTTATCCTCTATTAATAGCTTGGCTCTCTTTTTCTCCAGGCTGGAGGAGACTCTAGGTATCAAGGCACTTGGGGTTGACCTTTCCTTCTTCAAACGGGTGCGGGATTCTGTGAATCGAGATTCTCGCTTGTCGACAGCATGGTTACGGTGATTGCTCCCGTCTCTGAGCGCCGAGCATTGAGTCTTGGACGGTTTTAAGAGACAATGGCTGGGAACAAGTTGCGTCGGACAGGATTGAAACTCTTAGCCATCCTTTGAGGTAGTAAGATAGGCTAGTAGCCTTCTGAAGCGCTTCCATTCTCCCGTCGCATTCCGCCATAATACCTCGGCTCAGGCGCAGTGGCGGTGCTATCGGCACCGCCGGGGAGGACAACGGGGCAACAGCGATTTCTCTATTGAGAAGAGTCCATTCCCCAAAGTTCGAATGGGGAAAAAAGCAAATCTGGAAGAGTTTTCTCGAGTCATCTAGGGTAAGTTAGATGTCGCGCCTCAGCTGGTGTATTATGGTTTGAAAACTTGAGAGTGAAATTCTAGAAAGTCCACTGCGGAAGGTACCGGTACTCGTACTGAATGATCCTTGTTTTTTTTTGGTTTCCCCTTAAATCTTTACCGGAATGTTTTGGGGTAGGACCGCGTATGACGGACCAAAGTTCTCTGGCAATCAAGAAGCCATTTCTAGAACGTCACTTCATATATTGAGACAAGCCATGGGTGGGAGATCCTTGACACTTTTCAAGAGCCTTGACGGTTTCACAGGTCCAAATTTTCATATGAAGGGGAAATAGTTGGAGCGGCAGACTGGAATTCAAGAGAATAACCTCCCTGTGCTCTTACTTATCTCCTTGTGCTTTTCAAGGAATTCAATTTCTCCACACCAATGCTTGAATTTTCTCAAGTTTTCATTGCTCGTATACAAGATGTTACTAATTTTGTGCGGTTGTCGAGTAGTCGGGGCTAGGGACTGCTGGGGGGAGGAGACCCATCGACTGTAACCGCCGAGTGTATCCATCTTCACACCTACTAGCCTGTGATCTATCGTGCCTACAGTGTATGCTGTCACTCCGGGGGCTCGTTATGCTGTGCTCTGACCGTGTGTGATGCTAAGGATAGATAGTGGTGAGGCGGATACCGCATGAGTCCTGATGAGATAGTCTATGGTTATTGTAGACCTCGTGTTAATCGGAGTCCCAGATGACACTACCTTTCCGTTGTTCAGCATATTAATATCATTAGGATGGCTACAATAGGGGTAGTGTTGTCGGTAATATTAGATGTTGAAGCTGCAAAGAACTGTGGTAATGCCGTGGCCTCGTCATGAGAGCGAATATCATACTCGCTTCTGGATACGTAGGGTATGTATGTCTTCAAAAAGAGGATAAGGTCCTGCCTGGACTTGACACTTTTTAGCTTGCCGAGATACAAGTGCTGAATATAGGTGCAAGTTTTACCCGGGAATCAGGGGGTCTATTCGACAACCGGGAACTTGGTTTTTACCGTGAAAGATCCTGCTGGATAAACTCGATTTTTTTTGGCGCCCTTATCGGCCCCACCAAGGTCATAATTATTTGAGTTCACTTTGTAAGAGCATCGGATTATGTTTTTTCTCATGGTCACGGCGACCCGTCACTGCACGCCTGGTAAGGACAATGGAAGTGGCTACCGGTACTTGAAAAGCATTCATTCATTCATTCATTCACTCTACTCGAGCACCGATCCATTGACAAACCCCTTGCCAAGCCGTTTCGGATGTGCGAAATATTTCCCCTTGGCGCGTGGATCGATACCGCAAAGGGTTAAGCTGGCGCGGGAGATAACCGCCATTAATGATTTTTTTCGTCCATTTTTGAATTTAGGGCCAGCTCCCACCATCGACTGGAGGGGAGGCCGAGCTGCCCCGCGCGAAACAGTGCAAAAGCCAAATTAAGGTACTAAGTACGAGGGGGCGAAAAAATCTAATTGTTCAGCCCTAGTACGAGTAGAGTGTTCGAAAAGACTCCCCATTGGGGTGAGGTCAGGGTCTCACCAACGATTACGCTACTCGAGTATGATACCTGTACGAATGGGGGAGTATTAGCGCGGGCCCTTGCTCGGCAGATTGGAGAAAAGCCGGTACCTTTGGCCCAGTTATTGGGGCCCCGCTGGGTTCCGGCCGCTGTCGTTGATTCGTCCATTACAAGTATCTCGAGTAGTACGGAGTAGCCTAGCGGTTCCACCATTCTTGAATCTTTTTTTTTTTTTTTTTGCTTATTCGTGTCTTGTTCATGGTTCAAGCTTTGCCTGTATTAGGAATTGTCGTTTCCAAACGCTTGCCCCCTTCCTACAATCCGTGGCCTCATGCCCTTGTAATAGCGCGTATTTCCAAGATTGGCCAGGAGCGATCTGTGGAAGGGATTCGCTGGGCCTCGAACCTTCTCAAACTTGCCTCTCTGTTCGAAGGGTATATATATAATGCTACATTCTCAGCATTTCGTTACTTTTAGACTTCATTACTTCTCTCATTTTAACTTCCCCCAAAAGAAAGAAAGCGAGCCTTTCTTCTATGATAGCTCTTCAGCCTTGATCCACCTAATAATCATCAACATGTATACAAAATTTCTTGCTTCCATCATCTTGGGATCTACATTCTTTATGCGGGTAATGGGACATATGAACATGATGTCGCCACCTCCTATGCGACACCGAGACAATCCTCACACCCAGACGGTTGACGAGATCTACGAGTTTCCTTTGAAAACCGACGGCTCTGATTACCCGTGCAAAGGCCATATCAATGCTCTCGGCACGCCAGAGGGTCAACCGGTCGCGACATGGGCCGCCGGAAGTGCGCAGACTTTCAGGTAAGCTCGACATATCTCTAGCAAAGCACTCAATGGTAGGGTACTAACATGTGCACAGCCTGGAAGGAAGCGGCACCCACTATGGCGGTAGCTGTCAAGTCTCCCTTTCCTACGACAAGGGCGAGACGTTCAAAGTCATCAAGAGCTGGCCAGGCTCCTGTCCCAACCGTGAAAACGGCTCAGACCAGACTTTCAACTTTAACATCCCGAAGGAAGCTCCCAGCGGGGAGGAAGTCATCTTTGCCTGGTAACCCCCCCCCCCTCCTCCCTCCCCCACCCCTCCTTCCGTTCATATAACTAATGACACCTATTTCCGGCAGGACGTGGAACAACCGTGAGCGCGAATTCTTCCAAAATTGCGCCGTAGTAACCATCACCGGTGGCGGTGCTGGCATCTCAGGGCTGCCGGATGTTTTGGTCTCCAACATCGGGAATGGGTGCCTTTCCCCGTTGACTACCGCCGAACTGAAGTATCCCGATCCCGGCACCGCTGTCGAGCTCGGCGACGGGGAGTACCCGCTCGTTCTCCCCACTGGGAACTGTTAGGCGGGGTGTTGGATACATCACACGCCGGCATCTGTACCGCGGCCGTCACGCTTGTTCTGTTTTTGTTTGCCTATTTCCTCCTCAAAAGTGTCCGGACCCCAAGGGCTGTCTTCTTGTATTTTTATCACTTTCCCCTATTTTCTTTCTTTTTTCTCTTTTCTCTCTTCCGACATCGGTGATGCCTGAGAAGTTCATTGGTTGCTCATATAGAGCAAGACTGGCGAATAGCCCTTATATAAACCGTAGCTGTAGAATACTTATCAAATATTTCCAGGAGATATATATAACATATCATACCGTACATTTTCCTCCCACAATTCTAGATCAATCGAGTGACATTTCATGACAAAAGAACCCAACTCATTATAATACTCGTCGTCCTAAGATACCCACCGAACCCCAGCCCGCCCAAAAAAAAAAAACTACAAAGCAGGCGCGCGCACAACAAGAATCACTACATCTTCCATCTGTAAGCAAAGTCGCCCGATCAGAAATTTTCCTTCCACGCCGCTTTTACGCCAAAAGCATCCGTATCGACCCCCCCAAAGGGGACACCAGTCCCTATGGGAATCTATGATAGCGAAGCTGTAGAGTGGCACCACCTATCATATCTATGATACCCCGTGGGAAGGACAGAGGGCGTTAAGGTTCCAAAGGCCAACAACAGAGGCGCTGAGAAAGAGCGCGTTGGTAAGCGTGCCACTTCGTACGAAGCAACCCCTACACGGGGAAGAAAAAAAAGATAACAAAAAGTCACTTTCACAACTAGTTCGTGAAATCGCAGATAAAGCAGGAGCGAGCGATCCCACACTTCCAGGCGAGCACTGTACTCAGAGTGAGGGGGGGGAAAGCGATTCTCCTGCCAATGATCCAATTTTTTATAATATAAAAACAAGGACCATGTAGGTAAATGCTTCAAGTTATGGTCGCGGTTTGGAGAATCTTCCGTTTTCTCGACTGACTAACTTGGGTTTGGTCGAAGGAGGATTTGGGCTGGCCATCTCGCTGGCTGATGGTGGAGCGAGGTGGGCGGGCATCATGTATGTTGTGATGGGAACGCCCGAATGAACCTCCCCCAGTCGTGATGTATGATACCGACAATTTAGAGTGTGTTGTGGTTGAGTTGGCGCTTACCCGCGTCTGCGGCGTACCGGATTTCGGAGGGTGCTCGCTCGCTCGCCTGTCAAAGTGGATTTTGTTCCTGGCGGTCGGTCTGGATCGGTTATCCTGCCGTGAGTTGGGTGTCGGATGGGGTATATTTTGTGCTGGGTATGATACCGGTATTTTGAGTGGGTTCTGGATATGGATGTGCGTTTTGAGTGGTATGAGCGGAACGATCGGTAGTGCTGCTGCTGGCCGGCTGGGGGGACGAGGGCGTAGGGGACAATTGAGTGAGTGGTGGGTTGGGTGCAATATTGTTGACCCATATTGCTAACCCACCGGGGTAGGGAAGATGATAGAAAAAGAAGCTAATGATTTAATATTTACAGTGCATTAAAACCCAAACACCTAGTCTTCCGATAGCGGAAAAAAACGTAAGATATAAAGAAAAGTGCAAAAGTTACCCCCCCCCCCTCTTCTAGCCCGCTACCGCCCGAACTCCAGCCGTCGAATGCTATCCTCCGACCTCCCATCCGCCTCCATATCGACCTTCACCTCCACCGTCCTGACAATCCCGTCGCCCTTAAACACAATATCCTCCTGGCTCTCGCTGGACCCTCCGTCCACCGTGGTAGTATTCCCATGCGGCCTATTTGTGTCCCTACATCCCAGGGAATGTAACGGCACGCCGGCCCCGCTTTTTCGTCCGCCTGCCGTGTAGCCGAGGCCGTTCTGCGCATAGCTAGGTTTCGCGTGGCTGGTGCCTTGAAGGATTGAGTGGACGAGCGGTTTCAAGGCGGGGGCGGAGGCAGTGATGATGCCGAAGTTGACTTCCACTTGAGACCACAGGAGGACATAGGTTGCTACGTCTGGTGCGGGAGTTAGCATGGGTGCAAGATGGAGGGGGGGGAGGAATGGGTACAAGAAACGTCTCCTCCTGTATCCATGGCATGTTGGTTTTTATATAGTGCGGTTATGCGCACGACCGAACCCACTACTGCGATAGAACCGCAGGAGAAGATTAGGATCAACGCCGCTTCACAGATCGGGGCGTCAGTATTTCAGTCAAACTCTGTGCCATAACGCGTGTGGAGCAAACCTCTCTTCCTCCTGTTGGTCTGTAACCTCACCAGTGTCGGCAACGGCAGAATCAGGATTACGATATCCGAGAGGATATTGAAGGATGCCATGATGTAGTACACCACGACGAGGTCATTGCAACCTGCCGGGAAACCTGGCGACCATGCTTTGCTGGGGTTTTTGGGGCATTCAAATACCTTTCCCATTTCAATGTTAGCAGACCAGAAACCCAACTGGGCCAGAGGAAAGGGAGGGGGCAACAAACATTCACGAATAACATCGCAAGGGTGAACACCACGACAATGCCGCTAACGATCCATATCGAAATCTGGTAGGTTCTCTCGCGGGAGAGGCGCCGGTAGAAGGAGAGGATGCTGGCTTTGATGAAAAATAGGGTGACGAGGTATTGCAGCTGGTAGACGTACCAGAGTTTAAGCATTGGAACGATCACTACTTGATACTTCTGGCTTTGTTATTAGCTTTTATGATTGCACTTTCGGTCGGGCTAGAACAAATTTGAAGGAGGGGGAAAAGTACTCGTGGGTCATCTAAATGAGATCTGTTTGATTGTTAGCTATGATCAGGAGGAGGAGGGATTTAGGGAACTTGCCCGATGCCGTATTTTATATGAAAAGCATTCGTTATACCTGTCTTCTGTTAGGCACAGGACTGAACCTAACATGCCACGTCCGTAGATTTTGAAACCCACCTAACCCCCAGGCACCTATCTATTCGCCAACCAACTGGTCAGTTATCGCCGTTCCTCCAAAAAAACCACCACTAGAAAGCAGAATACTCACGAAAGCAGCAAGCATGATCCAATCATCCGATCTGACCATCTTAATAATAAACGCCCGACAGTAAAACCTAGAAACCAGTTTGTTAGCCCAACGATCCATGAATCCAGTGTCACCCAATCCACGAATCGACCCCGGACAGTATCCTACCTTAACGCCATAAATACCGTCGATAACGCCAATAGTGTATACATAACCGCCAGGAAGAGCGGACCCACTCCTCCTCCCGAACCCATATCTCGAAAATTTCACTCTCACTCTCACGCGCTTCAAGGTTCGATCAATTCACACCAACCAAGACCGAATAACGAAACCGCAAAAACCAAAAAACCGCTTCTCGTCTTTCTCATGGGGGAGAGATGGATTGGGAGGGAACGGACGGGGGGATTGATATATACCTTACCACATATCGCTATCAAATAGATACTTAGTGCGACATGTTGGAAAGGGTTACTATTCCAGTATCATATGGTGCTGGTACCGGTAAGTGGGTGGATTAAGTGAATGGTCAAGGGGAGGTAGGCTCAAGTCGGGCTAGACTGGGTATGGCAAATCTTATACATAAGTACGCCCTGGGTTGCCTTGTCTTGCCGGTACTCGTAGAGAGGGGAAGAAAAAAAAGGAAAAGTGAGGGAGGGGAGGAAAACGGGGGGAATAGAAACAGAAAAGGAAACAGCGGGGATTTGTTCCTTCCCGGTCTCACTCCAAATTTCCTCCTAGCGAAGAGATATTATATACCGGTATTACAGCTACAGTGCTCGGAAGGACCGGGAACCAAGGAAGAGGGGAACAGGGGGTGTATCGGAATGGAGAAGTGAGAAGAGATGTACGAGTACAGAAGAGTACTCGAGTACATCAGAGCAGACGAACCCGATGGCGGTTTTTCCCTGCAGTCGGCAGATTAGGGATGTGTAAAAGTGTCTCTTGTGATACGGGTAGCTTAACTGGTTCATACCTAGTACCGTACACCACCTGCTCTATAATTCTAGGAAAGGTTGCCGTTCCTCGAGGAAACAATTTTAATTTTTCCTTTTTCTTCAGCTCGAAAACCGAGGAAAACTTGGGTAGAGGTCCGACCCCCGACCAAATATTTACAAGCCTGGGGATTTTCAACCATACTCGAGTACGAGTACATATGGACTGGGTAACTCATACAGAAGTCCGTGCAACATCGGAACCCTCGATCTGCGGGGAAACCTAAACTCCGAAGGATAATGTTTAGCTTTCAAGAAACGATAGCGCGTGCTCAAAGAGAGGAGCGGGCTCTGGAATCACAATGGATTTCGCGTTGATCCCCTCATAGCACTGTAACCGTGCAGAACAATTTCGTCGACAACTTCCCGCTAACTTGGCTGGTTCAACCGATGAGAACTAGCAACCAAGTCAGAGCGCGGGTAAAGGCATCATTCCTACGGAACGTGGCTCTGGAACCGTACTCGTGCTTCTCCCGCCAAGATTTGCTTTCCCCATTTGCAGTACTCGAGTACGAGTAGTGAGGGCATCTAAGATTTTTTCCGCGGAATAAATGGGTAATTTGCGACTACGTAGTAGGGGTCCAACTATTCGGATCATTTATCAGTAGAAGCATAATTTACAGCTAGTAAGGGTATTCAAAGTTGAAAAGATGATTTTTCGGTAATGAGTAAATACGGGAAGTTGCATTGGGTTACCTTATGGTGTTAACCAATAGCATCCACACATTTTGGGTAGCATATTTGATTGTATTGAGGTAGCTGAGGGTAAAGTATAGATATTTTCACTGATCTCACCAATACCGTAAAATCTCCAATGTATGCTCTAATATTTTTCATATTATGTATCAAGTCTAGGCTCTGGTAGAGTTCAGTTAAACTGAGTTTTGAGGTAGATACGGACCTCTTGATGTCCGTATCTACTCAAAAAGAAAGTATGGTATGGTAAAGTAAAGTAATGGTAAATTAACTGTTTCTGGGTGTGCCAAGCTTACATGAAACAGTAAAGTAAGCTAAGTTTTTTCAAGTTTTTCAAGTTTGAATACCCTTAGTGGTTCGCAACATGAACTTGAATTAAGTGCTTGTGCTCGTATTACAGTCGTACTAGCACAATATTTCTCTGTAGTACATAGTGAGGACCTAGCACAATGAGCACTGGCTTATGAAAAAGTTGTGAACTATGGTCAAATATCTGCAAGAGATCATTGAAATATACCGAAATAGTACCAGAAAATATAATTCTTAGGTTAAATTTCCATCCATCCGAAGTTTCAGAATGATGTAACTTTCCAACAATTTGTCTTATAATATCCTTAAGGCTTCAAGTTTATAGTACTCTGTAGTGTCAAAAATAATCTTATTATAATAGCTTTCGTAGTCTCTGATACTGATTGTGTGATGGTTGTGCACTACTGCTTCACCATATTTTGGCGGAAAAGAACTGCCCTGAGCTCGCTACTAGAGAACAAACAGGGAAGCCAAATCCCGTTAGTAAACGAGTTTAGTTCCCCTACCATAAACCCGCGTCCATGGAGCTCTCATACCCATCATCACTCCCCCAGAGCAATACCGATCCCCATTCACAACGGAACAACCAGGGCCTGTTAGGCAACCATTTTCTGATACGCCTCTGGAGACATTATAAACCTTTGTCACAATTTGTCTCCTACCGAGCAACACCTGCAGGGAGATAAAGCCAGCGGAGCATTCCCAAGGGCCGGCGGTTTGGGAACTTTAGAGGTGGTTGGTTGTAGGGGGATGCGCAGGGTAGCTCCAAGGGACGGACTAAAGAAACTGGCAGGATACTCGAGTACTGTACCTTGCCGTATGGGGCCAGAAGCCACGAACGGGAGGTGTGTAACCCCTCCCATCTCGCGCCTTCGAGTTTTCATAACTGGCAGAAGGCAGTGAACTGGACTACCTGCGCTGGTATTTGGGAGCTCAGAACCACGATGGATCCAACATTTGCAACGAAAGCCACTCGGTGGTCCAGGGGGTTGCACACTTCCCCTCTGGTCGCTTCTGGCTCACGTAATACGGTATATAACGGCTAGCACTGGGAAAGAGTACTCACAGTTCCAGCATTTGGAATGGTTTCATATTTTGTTTTTCTCTTGCTTTCGCTCCCTGTCGGGATAAGCAGTGAATTGGCGGGCAGACTCGCTACGGAAATCCTATTTGGAAGTACGCAGCGGGGGTTTTCCATCTGGATCGAGCGAAGTGAAGCAACGAGAACGAGGACAGGACAAGTGCAAACGACATCCCGCTCCCGGCCTTCCGTATCCGACCGTCCGCCATGCTTTGTACCCCACAATCCGCCATGCCTGGTAATGAGATACCGGTACTACGGCACCAGGGGTCGACAAAAGTTGAATGCACTTCTGCTACGAGTACTCGAGTATGGTAGGAGATTGTTTGAGCAATGCGCTGGACGAGGACTCATGTTACCGCATTCGAAATGCTCTTACACCTGAGTGCTTCAGGCTCGGTCTGGGAGACATTTGATGATTACATCAACATGTAAGGTGAGATTTTTGACAACAGATACTGTACAGTACCTTCAACCGGGTGGAGTGCTCTCTCGCGGAAAAAGTTGTGGTTGGTATCATACCTTGGCGGCAACGAAAGTACCAGCAAAGGATTTTGCAGGTACAGTATCCGAGGTAAGTTAGGGAGTTTGGATTCAACAATAGGACCCTCATTGCTGATCATAGCCTTTCCCCGGAATAAAGAAATATACCAGTATCTTGCACTATAAGCTATCTGGAGGTGCCATTGTCAGACTTCAATTTGATGGGTAAGCCTGATTTCGCACATAATTTGGACAGCAAATATTTGGCTAAGCCTTGTCGCGGTACTTTTCTTGCTGCCAAGACATTGCCTCGGTACCTTTCTTTTTGCGAAGACTTTGCGAGCAGGGCTGTACCGGTACAGTACCGGTACAGTACTGTGCCATGAGTCGTGTGCCTTGTGAGTGCATGGACAGTGTATCACCTACCTGTACTGTACTGTACAGTAAGTCAATTAGGTATTTTTTTCCCATTCAATCAACTTTCTACAACCCCGGTGTATATAGTACAAGTACTATCAAGGGGATTATAGGTATCCAGAGGGCGTAATACCCTGCTGAAGGTATGAATACGGATCTCGGGAACAGCCCCCTTTAACCTTATCCAATGTTTTATTGCAAAGAAAGTAGCAAAGCTGCCCCCTCTGCCGCACGTTTATCATGCAACCCTCAGCGAGGAGGGGTCAAAGGCTGTGGATTAGTGAGAAGTGGCCCGGGAGTCTTTCTGTGAGGACGAGCACACTCTGTGTCCTAGTAGTGGCTTGGACCTGGTTGTTAGGGATATTATTGAGCAGGGTGATCGCAGCGAAACTCATCTGATTCGTTGGCAGTACGTGATTGACATTTTACTTTCTCGGGCCGCCTCCGGACTTGTGCCCGGCACCAGAGGCCACTTGTTTGCAGGCACATGCAAAAGGTAGAATCTTGGCATAATTTTGTATGTGTCGTCCCGTTTTCTGGAATGACCCTCTTGAAGTCCCCAACTAATGGACGCTTTGTTAGATGGGGTCGGTGGAATCAGAGAGTCGGTCTAAAGTAGCTCTATTCCGTGCTTTTCTCTAGGCTCTCTTAGTCGTCGTTGGAGACTCTTCATTCCCCTACGGGTATTGGATTTTGTTGTCATGAGGGTCAATACTTGTATCAGCCCCTGACACCATATCACGGCCTACCCGGGACTAACAATAACAGTGAGGCACCTATATAAGTACTCGTACTCGAGTAGACTACTTGTACGAGTACTCGTGCTTGTGGGGATGGAGCCCTAACAATAGTACTAGTTATTTAGCCTAGATTCAATTAAATTAGAGTTGAGTTAATCGAGGCTCGGCCCAAGGCCTGATAGACTGGTGTGGCTCTA